CATTCTCAACTCTGAAGAAGACTTTTTTTTAAAAAAAAAAAAAAAGCTTTCTTTTAAAGTGTGGGGGGGGAGGGGGCAGGACACAGTAGTTTGGAACCTTTTAAAATAGAGGTATAAACTGGCAGATAGACCAAAAACATTTTCCCAACTTAGAACTAAATTTGTACTGCATATGAAATTTGTTTTTCTTTGCATATCATAAAATTCACCACTCTTTTAAGTAAAAGTTACTGAAACAAGAACTATCATTTGCTAATTATTTATCCAATCATTTTCATTTAAGCAGGAATTTATCTCAAGGATGATGGTAGAAGTGAAAAAAGGATGACAGCGAGATAATACATCTTTTAATGGTTCAGCTACAGTCTAGGTTTACACTGATGTGTATATCTCATCAATAACAATTTTATGAAAATTCTGGATCTAAATATACTCAATAAAGACACAGTCCTATCTGAGTTTGAAAAAACAAATATAATGTGGTATGTGAAATAAGTCTTCTTAAACTTTTTCAAATTACAAATGAAAAAGCATGCCTTCAGGTGAAATAATTCCAAAAATAAAGAATAATAGTAACCCTTCTACCAGTCAACACTATGTATTAAAATATAGTACTCATAGGACCTTAGGGTTTCCTTTTATTGTTACTCGAGAGGTATATCGGGGAATATGTAAGTCAGTTTTCAACAGTTCTCACAGTTTTAAATAGTTCTTATTCTTTGTAAGAATAAGAACCTACAGAGAAGTGAGGGGAGGGGAGGGGAGGGGTTGGGGAGATAGGAAGGATAGTAGAATGAAACAGACATTATTATTACTGTGTGTATATATGTGACTGCATGACCAATGTGATTCTGCAACCTGTACACTCAGAAAAATGAGAAATTATATCCCATCTGATTCAAATGTATGATATGTCAAGGTCATTGTACTGTCATGTATAACTAATTAAAACAAATTTAAAAAAAAGAAGAAGAARAAGAACCTACTAGTGGTGTAAGGCTCTACCTCAAGTTCCTTTCCTCCACATTATGCTGCCTGACCCTTAATAGGTTCTAGAGAAACTAAATGCACACTGTCATATGATCRCTATTGTGTGCCACTGTCTTAACTCATGGTGTATCTGTGCTATATATAGTTTCCTTTGTTCCTTGTAAAAAGGGATCTCTCTAATATGCTACACAGCACCTAACACAAAGTGATTGGTTCTCATTAAGTAGCTAATGCCCAATAAAGCATCTACCCTTACATTTTTCATACAAGGCCTATAAATACCCTCAACTCATGATCCCAGCTGAATGTTCAGGGCATAATAATTATGCACTCTAAGAAGGGCTGAAATCATGAGCATGATATTGGTGTTTTGATACTGGTGTCATATGCAACCATTCTCTTTTGTTTGACTAGACTAAAACATCTCATCTCTGATAGCAGTGATAAAAATCAACCATTGTGAATAAAACACCACTTTTTAAAACAAGTTTCCTAATATTGTTTAAATGTTGAAACTGCCTATCAACTAATCATTAGTGTACAAATGCTTAGAAGTAAAACAATACTTTGCCTCTACATTGAAATCTCTACRTACTTCATCGCAACAAAACCCAATCTGTCTTTTTCAAAATTGTTTCTCCTGGCAAAAATTTCTGCTGTCTGGCCAAGTTTAGTGTTAAAAATAAAGTACAGTATTACAACATCAATCAACATTTAAAGTACTTAATGATTTATGAAAGAAGTATACAATAATGCTTTTTGAAATAAGTAAGCCAATCAAAGGTTTATTTATATTATCAGATCAATAGTACAGTTTTGAGAAAATCACATTTGTGTGTTTAGAGATATAAAAGTGGTATTAAACACTTAGGTAATATAAGAAAACAGACTTACAGGAGGCTATAAAAGGCAAGAATAATTTAAAGGGCTGGTGATATAGCTCAGCAGTAGAGCCACTTGCCTAGCATGCCAGAGTTCAATCCCCATTGCTAGGGGAAGAGAGGAAAAAACTTAAAAGACAGAACCCACTGCAGCTTTACTTCCCTTCTTGTCTGTGTGACTCTGGCCTCTTGCCTGCTTTTCAAATACCATGTGTACAAGCCTCATGGCACAGTTTTTTTTTTTTTCCTTGTGGCTAATACTGATTCCACAAATTAAGTCCAAAGTTCTTATACTGTGATGATGAGTAAAAATTGTAATCTTTTTGAAATACTGGGGATAAAACCCAAGGGTTTTTTTATAATCTACTGCAAATTACTCTATCATTAAGCTACATCCCTGGCCCTGTCTAAATTTCTTAGTTGATTTTGAGAGAGGGTCTTGCTAAATTGCCAAGCCTTGTCTCAAATTTGCAATCCTTCTGCCTCAGCCTCCTAGTAGCTGGGATTGTAGGTGTAGGCCACAGCACCAGTGAATTGTAATTTTTTTACATGAATAGGAAACTAGTCCACCTAAGTCCAATCAGACATGATCAAGAAAATCTGAAAAGATTCTACCACTGGGAGTTTAAATGGGAATCGAACAAGTACTAAATACTGCAAGGACTCTGGCATCCTTACCAACTACAACAAAAATCTTATAATCTTTTGCAAATTACTCAGGTGGCTGTCTAAAAGGGAATGCATGGCCTTAGATAACATGGGAGCATGGCACAGATAATGAGTTGGTTCAGAACTCACCTTTTTAACTCCATGAGCCTAGCCCTAAGAGATGAAWTTTTTTAGTTTTTCGTCRGACACAACATCTTTGTATGTGGTGCTGAGGATCGAACCCAGGCCRCACGCATGCCAGGYGAGTGCGCTACCGCTTGAGCCACATCCCCAGCCCCAGAGATGATCAGTGTCCCCCCTCTGGACTGCCATATGTGTTCCAWATGATGCTAAACTGTAATGGCCTTCCATCTAAGTGAATTTTTCCCAAAAAATAACATATCTCTTAGTAAAGCAGTCATTTCAACTGTGAGGGAACAAAATAGATGATACTACCATATCTTCCAGGAAGGTGAAGGTATCCAGAACAAAAGATAAAGTCAGACTATATACAACCATTTTCCTGACAAGAATGTAATAATGTATAAAGATCAATAACTTCGGGCATGAGTAAAGAGATCAGAGTTCAAATCTCAGTTTTTTTACCTTATAAAATGGAACTAATACCCACGTACTTTAGAATTGTTATAAATGGCAAATATAATAAGAAAGGATTGGCTAACACAGACTCTGCTGTCAAATGCCTGCAATAGAGCTTTAGAACGTATGGTTTCCTTGCTGCTTATTTCCAGGCATATCCACTAGACTTGGTTTCTAAGCTAGCCAATTCTTACAAAGTAGAGGGCTTTTAATTGGTGGTAATCTGCCTCAAATCAAGTTATTCTGAGGAAAATTACCTCATAACTTACTGGGTGTTTTTATTTATAAAAATCCCATATTTCCTTTCTTCTGCTGGATTTAGGCCAACTTACTTAGGTTCTCCTTTGGTATCCATGTTTCAATGGTTTTTGCCTGCTTGCCTCCTTAATGTCCAAGTCACTCTTCTGTTTTGACAGTACCTCTGCTTTTCCACCTCCTTCTATTTTGCCTGTTTCTATTTTTTTTATTCTAATTAATTTTTTTCTATGACAGCGGAATGCATTAGATTTCTTATGACACATACAGAGTACAATTTTTCATATCTCTGATTGTACACAAAGTTTATTCACACCAATTTGTGTCTTCATAGATGTACGTTGGGTAATAATGAACATCTCATTCCACCATCATTTCTAACCCCATGCCCCTTCCCCTCCCACCCCTCTGCCCTATCTAGAGTTCGTCTATTCCCCCCCTTGCTCCCCCCTCCCTACCCCACTATGAATCGGCCTCTCTATATCAGAGAAAACATTCAGCATTTGGTTGAGATTGGCTAACTCCACTTAACATTATCTTCTCTATTTCTCTTTTGAGTCAGATGGTATATGTTTTTCTTAATTCCTTCATTGCATGCCTTGTTACCACTATGCCAACAAAGACACCCAAGGATTAGGGATTTCTAGGCTCCACCATGACCTCTCCTATCACCTTGAATCATTACCCACTACACATAGTCTTAGAATAGCTTCAAATTCCTGGTTACCCCAAAATCAGAGATTAAATGAGGACATGTCATCATTGTCAGCTGTTAGAATCAACAAAGCATTATGAGCCACTTGATAACCTGAGCCCYAACTGATTATCCTAAACACAGAGCTCACCTTAGGGAACAGATAGGACTTATGATACCTTAACAAGCATGAAAAAAAAAAAAAAAAAGGAAGGAAGGAGGAAGGGAGGGAGGGAGGGAAGAGGGAGGAAGGAAAAAAACATGGTAAGTATCTGCCTGTGTGTTAAGTCCAACTACTGTCATAAAAATCTAGTTATATCCAGACATTCAATTCATAAAAAGTTACTCTTTGACTTGAGAATACTGTCCTCTCCAACTGCTTGCCCCCTTAGTATCTGGATTCCTAAGACGCCTTCAGTTGGATGCACATGAACCTATCAGGGAGAAGTCATAACCATAAAAAATTGAATTAGGGGGCTGGGGCTGTAGCTCAGTGGTAAAGTGTTTGCCTTGCATGTGTGAGGCACTAGGTTCGATCCTCAGCACCACAAAAACAAAGATATTGTGTGTCCATCTACAACTAAAAAATATATTAATAATTTTTTAAAAAGTTGAATCAGTCAAATCAACCCCTTGGATGACAATAGGATGACAACCCACAAAACAGCATTGTTTCAACATTCAGGAGAATTAACTGGACATCCAGATCCTTCTTAATAAATCTGGTTTCTTTAGGATCAGACTCAAATAGAAGCAATTCTTTAGGATCAGACTCAAATAGAAGCAAAACTGTCATAGGAGATGGAAATGGAATTCACACACCAAATAAACTATTGGTCTCATTCAACTGTGCAAATGCATAGTGGAAGACTACATTTGACTCAACACAAGTACTGTTGGGAAGAACAAAGGAAAAGAAAAAAAAAACCTACTTTGTTTTTTAAGTTCTTCAATCTGTTCTTCCTTTAGATCTAACTGTTCGGTAAGCCTGGAAGCAGAATCCAACATAGCATTTGCTTCATCCAAACGTTCCTGAGGGAGGAAAGTTTATTAAAAAGCAGTATCCAAAAATGGTTCTACAAACTATCAGTCTGGGATAGAATCAATCCTTTACACCCTGGCTGATGAAGCTGCACCTCTATGACCTCGGGCAAGTTGATGCAACTAGTAAGTATCAAAGACAGAACCTGCAGTCTTTCACATACAATACTGCCTTTATGAAAGAAACTAMATAAAAAAGAAGATGCTACAAAAAAGACCACATGGTGACAGAAGTAAAATAAGTTAACAATAGGAAAAATAAAATTACAAAGATACAAAGTCAAGAAACACAACAACAAATGTTCTCACTTTTTTAAATTTTTGCAAGTATAACACACATAAAATGATTGTTTCATTATGATTTCATTACTTTAAATCATTTACTTAATTACTATTGCATTTGAATATTTCTATCCTGTTTACAGGACAGTTGAATCTGCTCTTTTATGAAAAACCTCTTTGCCTGTGTGCGTCTGCTGTGCTGTTTTCTTTGTTAACTTGTAAGAGTACCTTATAGATATGAACCCTCTGTCATCTGTGCTACACAAATTTACAAGATTTGCTACTTGTCTATCGACTATATTACCATTTGTCATTTAAATATTTTTATAATGTATATAGTCAAACATGTCYTACTACTTTGCTTTCACAGCTGAAATTTAGACTATTGGAATCCTCCTTGTCCCTAGATTATACATGTAGTATTCTAGATTCTACTGCAAGATAATTTTTGGGGGGGCGGGGGGAATTAACCAGGGATTTAATCTAGGGGTACCTTAACCACTGAGCCATAGCCCCAGCCCTTTTTATTTTGAGACAGGGTCTTGCAAAGTTGCTTAGGGTCTCACTAAATTGCTGAGACTGGCCTTAGAACTTGTGATTCTCTGCCTCAGCCTCCTGAGCTGCTGAGATTACAGGGATGTGCCCCATGCCCAGCTATTTTTTTTTAAATATTTAAATCATTAATACAGTGGAATAATTTTTTTCCAGTGGAATACTTTTGATAGTTCCTAGCTCACTGAATATCAGAAGAACCATTTAGTCACTGTAACAATTAAAAATATCCCCATGGTGCACACTTGTAATCCCAGTAGCTCGGGAGGCTGAAGCAGGAGGACAGCAAGTACAAAACCAGTTTCAGCAACAGCCAGGCACCAAGCAACGCTGTGAGACCCTGACTCTAAATAAAATACAAAATAGGGCTGGGGATGTGGCTCAGTGATGGAGTGCCCCTAAATTCAATCTATATATATTCCCAGATATCTAATACCACTTCCAGTTGAGACTTCTTGCTTTAATACAACTGGAATTTATTTTTGTATTTGATGTTAAGATGAAGTCTGATTTTATTTTCTTCCTTATGGATAATTTCCAACGTTATTATTTAGATAATTTAAATAAACTTTCAATCCCCTTTTCTCAGGGGTTAGTTTTAATTTTCAAGTACATCCTGGGCTCTTTCTCTGAATTCTTTGGTTCCACTAATCTAGTCAACATTGTAATGGTCTGTGGTTCTATTTTGATATCTAATCGGCAAGTCTCTCCTCATTGTTATTCTTTTTCATAATTTTCTTGGCTATTCTGGAGAATTTACCCATCTAAATTTCAAGCCAAGTTTTCAATCTGAGTGATAGCTTTCTTGCTGTATTATCTTGGATCAGCTACAGTCTCTAGCTATTCAATCAAATATAATCTAGATGTTGCTGGAGAGGTATTTTGTAAATGCACTCAAATCCCTTAATCAGTTGAATTTAAGGAAAGCACATTATCCTGGAGAATTCTGGGTGGGCCTGACTGAAGTTCTTAAAAAGCAGGGATTTAGGCTTCCCCAAAAAAGACCAAAAAACTCCTTCTGTGGACAGCAGCTTCTTTTGTGCTCATGGAGATCTGTCCTGCTTATGACCTTCCTGACTGCCTGTGGACAGCATCTATGGCCTGTGCCTGCGACTTCTGCTTGACTTTGATGTGGTCTTCCCATCTTGACCACCATCACAGCAACCTTCAGACTTGCTTAGCCAGCCTCTACAATTATGTAGTCAACTCCTTATAATAAATCATGTGTATATCCTATATAATACACATATAAACTTATATATGCACATACATGTACACACATACACCCCACTAGTTCTGCTACTAAGGGTTCAACTCTGATACACAGAGCAAYTGAAACTAAATTTTAGATCAAAATGTTTTATTCAGGGCTGAGGATATAGTTTAGTAGTAGAACACCTGTCCAGCAAGGCCTTGAGTTCAATCCCCAGTACTGCCAAAAAAAAAAAAAGTAATATTCCAAGAAACTAAACTAATTTAATATAAAGGAAATTTAATAAACTTTCAAATGATATTTTTAAACCTTGTATTTACATTCATGAAAKTATAAAAGCTTACAACTACACTCAAGTATTTTCAAACATCAGCATTTATGCTGTTATTCTTTCTACCACTGGGTTTTTATTCAGTAGTTTCAGATTCTATCTTCATTAATTCCCTCATCATTTCTTCTGGTTTATTTTGTTCTTTTTTAAATGTATATTACATTTTAAAATTAAAACACACACACACACACACACACACACACACACACACATACACACAACACTAGTTTAAAAAAGGGACCCGGACTTCCATGCAAGCAGTTGGACAGATGGGATACTTCAGAACCACTGGATATAACTAAAAGTACTAGATAAAATGTAGCCTGTAAAACCTAGCCATGAACCTACAAGAAAGCACAAATGGTCAACAGCTACACTAAATGATGTGTGACCTCATTAGTAGTCAAGGAGATGCATACAAAAACTATAAGAGAGTCCTTCTGATATGGTTTGAATGTGGCCCCCTAAGTTCATGTTAGAATCTGAGGCCCAGTGTGATAGTATTGGGAGGCAGGTCTATTGGGAGGTGTTAGGTCATGGGCACACCACCCTAATGTCATTATTTCAGGCCTGGGCTCTTTATAAAGGACAAATTCAGCCCCCTCTTGCTTTCTCTCTGGCCCTCTCTTTGCCCTTCTGCCAGGGGTTGGACACAGCAAGAAGGACCTCATCAGACACTAGTCTTGGACTTCTCAGCCCCCAGAACCATTAGCCCATAAAATTTCTTTTCACTGCAAACTATCCAGTATGTGGTATTTTATAATAGCAGCACAAAACAGACTCAAACAAATTCCCAATCACCAGTTTGATAAAAACTTAAAAAGCCTAATAATGTGAAGTGCTGACAATAATGCAGAATAAGAACTCCTGTGCATTCCTGATAGGAGTATATAAACACAAAAGAACAAAATCTGCCATCTGCAATTCGCCATAAACATCTATGACTCAGCAATTTCAACCAAAATRTATACCTGAAAGAAATTCATGTGTGTGAGTACCAGGAGATATAAACAACAAGGAAGTACRTAACCACACAGTTTGTACAGAAGATATCTAAAATGTCCTTTTGTCAGTAAAATGGGTAAGTAAATTATAACAATAGTTTATGTATAAAGGTTATATATGCCTTATATATAATTTTGTGTATATGAAATATGGCATAATAATAAAGAGAAAAATCTTTTTAAAGTCTCATACTTACAAAAGAAAGAGATCTAATGGGGTAATATATGTTATTTGAATCCATGTGAAATGTAGTACCCAATATTATTTTGCTTAAAAGAGAAAATTATAAAGTTAAAAATGCAGATTAAATTTTCTTTAGAAATAGATAAAATACCTATGTGTGCTAAAAAATTAAATGTGCCTTCATCTACATTCTCTGGAAATCCTGACTACCTTATTCACTGTTATGACCCCAAACTGTGCTGGATACACAGCAGCCGCTCAAATAACATTTACTTTATGAATGGAAGAGAAGAGAATTTCCAAGACAAGGATCCAGAAGAAATCATACCATGAATAATAAGATTTACAAGAGAAAACTCTTTTGGTCTACCTGTAATGACAATACTTCTCCTTCTAATTTTTCTGCCTTTTCCTTCCATTCAGCTATAGACTGTTTTGCTTTTTCTAATTCGGCAGAATACATAGCTTTTTCTTCTAAAAGAGAAAAAGAAGTTATATTAATATTTTGCAATCGTGATAAAACTGGAATTTTAAACCACCTGTACTTTAATAATTTGACAACAGTTCAAACACCTCAACAAGAAATTTATATATCTTAATGATCAAGTGGAACTAAATAAATTAGTATTTCCCTCTGCCTAAAGCCTGATCTTGGATATTCTTCTCTCCTTTCATAACTCCATCTAATACTTCCTTTTTCGGCAAAGCCTTCTCTACAGCCTCAGTGCCACACTAGTCTATATGCTGTATACTCAATCACATTATATTGTAAATAGACCTGAGAACTCTTACAATTTAAAGTATAAAATTTCAACCATGTGAGTAACTCTGAAAGAATACAGAGGTACAAATTTAAAGTTTTRTGTAGATAAAAAACTATAAACTCTTGTTGGTTACTTCAGTATCCTCATATCCCCTAATCCTCCTGCCTGCTCCCAGTTACTTAGCAATTAATTCAGTCAGTACCTACTGAATGTATGAATAAACATATAGGTGGCTACATAAGTGAATATGTCAACTGGATAAATCTAAGGATGGAAGGTCAAGTGTGGAAAAGCATGTAAAGCGTATTTGGTTCTCAGGGTAAAAAAGCTTTGATTACTGTTGGTATGACTCAAAAAAAAAAAAAATTTCACTTGGACCAGAAAATATAATTATCTCAAAGTCCAGATGACCAGAGTAAGGAGTTAATAAATAAATACTTCAAAGGACAGTAATTACTGGTAATTAACACTCTGAAGAGGATTTAACCTCCAATCAACATCTCAAAAACCTAACCGCCTTGTTTCTATGTTCTTTTTGTTCCCCTTTATCATTGGATCATCCTTCTTCATGTTACCCTTATAATTCCAACTTTGATTTTAACTAGTAATAACATACTAAACAAAACTTTCAATAATTACTAAATACAGTTCATGTTCTTTAGTTTTAATTGTAAAAGGAGTCTAAATTAATTTTTTGATGTTTTTTATGTCTTTCCCCCTTAACAAGCAAGAACTTAATTTTCAAAGATTTCCCCATGTCTAACCTAAAGAAGTATTAACATAAGGCAAAATTACTAACAACTACAATTTCTCTTCACTGCAAGATCAACCACACAACTTACCTTGTTGGAAATGCTCTAGAACCATTTGCAGGTTAGTTAATGACAGGGCATACTGTTTTACTTGTTCCTGGGAGAGCGAAAACTGCAGTGCGTTCTCATCCCTCTGCTTAGAGACCATACTCAACTGCTCCTGCAGCGACTCTATCTGCACACTGGCTTGATGACTTCAAACAAAAGAATCAAAGTCAAACTGCTTCTACCTATTTATAGACACTTCAGCAAGAAGAAACATTTTCCCAACATAAATCTTACTGCGTTACATACAAGGTAGCTTTCAAAGTAATTTTTTAGATACTTAAACAAGATGAAATATCTTTCCTACATTTTTAAAATTGTGACAAAATATAACTTAAAATTCACCATTTAACCATCTTTTCAAGTATATGGTTCAGAGTCACTAAGTATAGTCACATTGTTGTACAATCATCACGCCATCCATCCATCTCTAGAGCTTTTCTACTTCCCAAACTGAAACTCCATTCCTATTACATAACAACTCCCCCACTTCCCCTGGCATCCACCATCTACTTTCTGTCTTTAGAAATTTGAGTCTCCTTACATTTTACTGCATTAAATTCAAGTTCAAGAACTGGGAGAATTTTTCTGATCTTTGTTGTTTCTGTTAATTCAATTATCCTTCCTGTGAAGGTGACTTTCACCAAACAGCAGGCCTTTTAAAGACTGACAATTAGACTAAAAAGAAATGCTGACAAAAGAAAAACTTATAAAGAACCTGCAACTTTCACATTTCCAAACTAAAACTAACATATAATTTATCATAAAATGCTGAACTGTAAGGGCCCTTCAAGTCACTGTGTCAGCCTAAGGCATTTTGTCCAAGCTAAGGAGAAATGGATGTCCGTTCTATGATGTTCCCTTGTTTTTATCACTTGCAATCATGATGTATGTATAACTTTCTAAAGGCTGTCCCCACTGATGAACTGCTATGATTAGTTATATTATCATCTTTCTTATTGCCTTTATTAAATATAATACAATAAACCCTACCCCTGTTCCAAATAATAACACAGAGATTCCTAAGAGATCTATTTATATAACACCTTTGCATGCAGGCTTATGTCATTGGTGTACTTCTTTATTGTGTTATGATTACATCAAAAATACTGCTATGGTCTTCATGAGTATTTAACCTCCAGTTAAATTCATACTGAAAAGCATTAAACAACTCACTTTGGAGACACTTTACCAAATAGCACCCTCTTGTGGAAAGAACTGTAAATTGATAAGACCACCTGAACTCCATTTCCCAAATCAAACTGTTGATTGTAAGGATAAGATGTGCTATGACTGCCCTCAAAAAAGTTAATAAATACCAAGTATTACTATTAAGGGCTCAAAACACCATAAATTGGTTTAAAGATATGAGTTTTTCATAAAACAAATATTGCTGAATATCTATAAACTATGTATATAACATATACGGTGGGAAGGGTACATAATGAATAGCTCATCACTTCACCTCAATGAACTTACACTGTATAGCATGGGAGAAAGTGTAACATAGGTAAAGAACTACCTGTACCCTCAAGTAAAATATATCTGCCCTACCAAAGACTCAAGTATTATGCAAGTTCACAACAGGAACTATTTTTTGATAAAAAGGTGAGGGGTACTAAATAAGGCACCCTTCATGAAGAAAACAGAATTTGGAGAATAGGTGGGACTCACAGAAAAACTGGTAGGGATAGGCCCACACTTCAGGTAGAAGGATTACTATAAAAAGAAAAAGTAGAAAGAAAGGAAATCATACTCTGAGGAGCTGAATAATAGTTTAGCTGGATGTGGATGACAGTATAAAAGAAGGCTAAGGTGGAAAGTAACCTGGGATCAATCACAGAAGTCGAGACACTTGTTTCAAAAAAAGGGAGTTCAAAGCTCATCTTAGGGAAGTTTATCCTGGAAGTTATTAGGAAGAGTAAATGACAGAGACACAGACTAGAAACTATTTTAATTAAGGAAAACAAGGGCCTAAAAACTGCAAAGATAGATTATAAGTATGCCACAGCCTAAGGATGTTTTGGCATTTCTGCCAAAGTAATGAATGTACCAATGATCACTGTTTTAATCCCTATATTAAACAAAATTTCCTTGTGAGTCAAAGGATATAATAATATACTTTTCAAAGCAGACGGAGGAACTCACTAGAAATTTGTCTCTACTGACTTTTAAACTCTTTTCAAAGAGATAACATCTACTACCTCCTTGTATCTTCATCTGTGTCATACATAGCGAAAGGAAAATAAAAGATGCAAATATCACTAATGGAAATAAATGTAGACATAATTTTTCTAGCAGATAATTTGATGATTCAATCTCAAAAATTTTTAAATGCCCATTGATTTGAAAGTTCTCAAATTTTACACAGGAAATAATCTGTCCTCACCACAAAAAAAAAGTCTTGAGATATCATGACAGCACTCTCCATGATTTTGAAAGGTTGAAACACTATAAATGTTCAATAATAAATGATTGGGTTAAAGAAATTATAACAAATCCAAATCCATATACTATATGCAGCCATAAAATATTAGTACAGAAATACATGGCTTACTATATTCTGATGCTCATATTAGGTGACAGAAAAAGGTTACAAATAACAGCACTAATGATCTCATTTTTGCTTTTTAATATATTATATATACACAAATATAAATACAAACAAACAAACAAAAGGTACCAAACAACAACAACAACAATGGGTGAATGGTGCTCTGTTCTTTTGGTTTATRTGATTTTTCTAATGTGAAAAACACAATGATTTTATAATAAAGAATTTAACAAAACTATTGATAGAAATAAAATTTTTAAATATATAAGCAAAGACCTGGTCACTCAAAAGTAATAATAAACCAAAAGTTCATCCTTCATGGTGAACTAGACCTTCACTTTGGTTCTTTCTTTATTCTCTTTCCTTCTAATATCCAACCCTAGGTTCAAGCTTAGATCATTTGATGAAAAAAATTAGTTTTCTGGGAGCTTCAGAGCTAATTACATCAGTCAGAATTTTACAATATTCTCCTATAATGACAAGTAAAAAATCTAGGAAATCTCACACACACACACACATACACATTGTGCCTGATATTGGGAAGATTTTTAAATCTCTTTACCTTTAGTTTCTTCATCTGTACAATGGAGATAATGAATTTCATGAAAATGAGCTAACATGAAAAGTACTGAGTCTGACACTCAAGCAACGTTCAGTTAGTTGAAATTAATGCAAACAAATGAAAAAATTACCTTGCGTTAGAAGATGAAACTAGCTTTTCTTCCAATAGTGTGACTTTCTTTCTCAGTTGAATCTCTTTGTCTTCTGCAGCCAAAATTTCCTGGGTGTAAGACTCTTCTGATTCCAAGAGATGGCTGCGTAGCCTTTCTAGCTCCTGGTTTAAGCGTAGYTCTTTGTCACGTAAGTGTTGAACCTAGGTAGAGGACATTTCTTTACTTTTCTTCTATATAATCCTTCCTCCCCACCCCCTCACAAACCACTTTGCTATCAATCTCTTCCCATTACTTAAGTTTATTATCTGTATACTAACATCGTATAGAATAAGATGTATTTATGCTAGGAAAATTTCACCTGGTATCACGTTGCATATTCATTCCAAAGCTTTAGTAAGATCTCATTTGCTGTGGCTATAATGGAAGATGGAATTATACAAAAGCAATGGCCTCTTTGTGACAGAATACTTTTTCAGTAAATCTCACTTTATTTCATTACTTTATAAGAAATTTTTCTTATATCCAAGATATGCCTTGGTTTTCACTTTTGAAAACTGAAATATAAAGTACTCTAGGAGATCAAAATCCTACTATAGCAAATCAGAGGAGTCTAAGAAAAAAAATCAACAGAGATAAGTTCATTTTACTTGGTAGTCYTTCCAGTTATCTTAATAATTATTAAATTTATTGTTTGATTCACTGTCCCTTTAAAATGAAAGTATACCTCGTGCTGTAGGGTACTGTTTTCCATCTGTTTCTGCTTTAAGGCTACGATGACTTGGTCTCGTTCTTGCTGAAACATAATTGTCTTCTCCTGCATTGATTCAACTGCATTTAAAAGCTGATTTAACTCCCCAGCTTTTCCCTTTTAGAAAGAAATAACTTTAGCTTTGAACAAAATACACTTTTAAAAAGACATTTCTTCATTAAATAATTTGAAAGTATAGTTAACTAGGTCAAAGTCAATAAAAACAAGGAAGTCTGAGAAACTGTCTATCTAGAGGAGCCTAAGGATATAGGACCTCTAAATATAATGTGGAATCCCAGATGGCATCCTCAAACAGGAAAAGGACATTTGGTAAAAATTAAAGAATTCAAATATATGAATTTTAGTTAATAATAATGCCTCAACACTGTTTCATTAACTGAGATAAATGTACCAGAGATGTAAGATGTTAATAATAAGGGAAACTGAGTATTAATATATGAGAACACTCTTCATTATCTTTACAACTCTTCTGTAAATCTATAATTAGTCTAACTGAAAAAGTTCACTAGACATTTTAAAAGGAACCCACAAGGCAAAAAAAAAAAAAATCTCTCCAAATTTATACTATTTACATTTTACAATATCCACAAGCCTCCAAATCACAAAAGAAATGTGATTCTTCCTGTGTGTGTGTGTGTGTGTGTGTGTGTGTGTGTGTACKCGTGCRCGTGCATTCATTCATCAGGCACCCATGATTGTTAAAGAGAAATAATGATGTCAAGTGTCTGGCAAAAGAGAGAAAGGTAAGTCTTTCATATTATGTGCAGCCTATTTTAAAAGAATATTTTTGTCAACAATTTAACAAAAGCAACTATCAAATGAAATCTTGCTAGACAGTAAATGAAAATTTATTTTTGAATGCATTCCAGACAAGTACAACATATTAATGGCAGCAGATAAAAGATAACCCTTCACTGCAAAAGTAGGGCCATGAATTTTAGCCAATAGTTGGAATTCTAAAAAGCACACAAAAATGTCAAGGCCATTTACAGTTAATCGTTTAATGTTTTAGATATGCATATCAAATGAGTATACAGTATTATTTTAAGTGTCCATGTAAACTTTTCATTTCTTTGAGAATATATAAGCCAGGAATAGTGGCATGCACCATGCACCTAGAGTCCCACTACTTTGGAAGCTGAGGCAGAAAAATCAGGTGAGCCCAGGATTGTAGGCCCAGCTAGGGCAACACAGTGTGACCCCATTCTCTCTTAACAAACAAGGAAATTTTAAAAAGAAAAAGAACATAAAAATGGCAGGATAAAATCACTGAAAATGAATCATAAAACCAATACCCATCCCTGGATAGGGAGGCTAATCTTTTCCAAATAGTTTTTCAGTTAAGTTTGTTCTTCATATTACAAAGAAAGAAGAAATGCTTACAAAATTAAATAGGCTTGAAGATCTCCTGTTGAGAAACATACCTTTTCCTCTAAACAGATTGAGTATCTGTTGATTTCAGATTAGGGATGTTTAACCTGTGTAATCTAAAGATGCCCTCAAAATATATTCAGAAGATTGAAGAAATTGTTTAGTTCAYGGTAATTTCCTCAATATAATATTTAAGAACTACTTAACTTAGGGAAGCTTCCTAAAAGACAAGAGAGCCTTAAAAAAATCTGCACACTTAGRTATGTAAATGTCAACTAAATGGTATCAAATGCTAAAACTGCAAAAGGAAAAATACAAATAGTACAACAGAAAATTTCACTGTTTTGCACTCTTCTGACAGACTCTCTCAAAACCATCCAAGCGTACACCCAATATCAGTGAACAATGGGAAGCTCTACTCTCTAAGAAAGTCTTTTATACCAATTATAGACAGRTGTCATCTAAACTAAAAAGCTATCTCTGAAAGACCAAACACCTAAACACTGACAATCGTGTAGCTACTTAATCAGAAAATCCAAGATTCTGAGAATTTAACTGGCAAAAGAAGTTAAATGAGTTTGCATCTTATGCCTGGGCAGTATACAAATGTTAATGCAGCATCTGCTGAATATTCTACTGTTCTATCATTTCTTTTCCAAATTTCTACTACCATAAGTTTATAAAAATCACACTAAAAAGGCACCACTATTCAAGATTTACATAGCAGTTCTCAGAGTTAAATGCAACAGATCGCCAATAATTCTTCTTAAAATGACCATGAAAAATATTCATTACAACATGCTTATCAGGGAATAGGGTTGTGGCTCAGCGATACAGCACTCATCTAGCACGTGYGAGGGCCTGAGTTCAATCCTCAGCACCACATAAAAATAAATAAATAAAATAAAGGCATTGTGTCCAACTACAACTAAAAAAGTAAATATTTAAAATAAAAAAACATGCTTATCAGATGAGAATGTAGAACTTTGAATATAACAAAAGCTACCAACACTTTCTATTTTAACTACTATTATCCTCCATTTTACAGCTGAACAAACAAACCAGAGCTGGGATTAGAGTACTTAGAGAGCCTACTATGTTTAAAGTACCACTTATGCCTAATACTTTTCAAATTCCAGGTTTGTGACAAATTCGATTCACTAAAGTCAATTTATGGATCATCCAGCATTTTCTTTCTTTTTTTTTTTAACAGAGTATCATATGTAGTAAGGGTGATTTCTGGTTCCTTACACTTTTTTCAGTTTCACACATACGCACACACAAACACACACGTATCTACTRTGTCACAGCGTAAAAGTATTTCTTATTGCAGATCACAGTCAAAGATGTAGACGGTTTATATTCATAGAGCTTCCCTTTGATTTAAGAATCTAAAAAGTTAGCTATTACTGGCAATTACTGAAACATATCTAAAATTTAATTAAAGTGATTCCCTCTGATACAATATTTTCTAAAGAAAGATATTGTTATTACATCCTTTTTTTATTTTGAAGGCTGTAAAATTAATCTATTAAAAATTAGTAATTGGAAGAAGAAACTTCCAGATACCTGAGGAAAGTTTATTTAGATAAATCACACAGTATCTTGAAATACATATTTCTAAACAAACATATTTATAGTCCTGAAGACTGCATTGATAGAGTAACCAGTACTTTAAAAAGTCTACTTCACCCTCAACCTCCTCCTCCTATAATGCTCCATTCAGAACATACCTGTTTTTTTTCTTGTAGCAGTTGCTCAAAAGCAAGAGCTTTCTCCTTCATTGACTGACATTCAAACTCTTTTTCTCGCAGCATCACAGAGAACTTCAAGTTTGTCTCTTGTAATGCTTGATACTCCGTTTCCTTTTCTTTTGATGTTTCTATTATTTTTTCATTTTCCCCTTTTAGTTTAGAAATGTCCATTTCTAAAATTAACATTCTCTCCTTTAGGTTTGTTACGGCTTGCCTCAATAATTCGTTTTCATTCACTTTGTTAGTAAAATCTTCATTTGAAGAAAGTAACTGATCACTTTTGGCTTTGATTAAGAGGTCTTTTTCTTTAAGCAAATTTTGCAAAATGTCTTGCTTTTCTTTTAGCTGTTTAATTTCTGAATCTGTTTGTTCATGTTCTTTCTTTTCAATCCCTGAAGAAGCAGCAATTGAATCAGACAACCTGTGGTTATTTTCCTTTAGTGTCTTGATTGTGGCATCTTTTTCTTGCAGTGATTTTCTCAGTTCTTCTACCTCTGCTGACTGGGAGGTAAGTGATGAAGCAGACAAGAGCTGGGGTGAAATAATATCAAGTTTTCCTAAAAGAAGGTCTTTGGTATTACAAAGCTGCCCTATGCAATGTTGAACTTGGGCTAATTCCTGCCCAAAATTTTTGAGTTTGGTTTCATTCAGCTCATAACTTTGGATGAGACCAGTGTAGTCTACTTCTAATTTAGAACTATTATCACTGTCAACCAAAACATTGGCTTCAAGTTGAAGAAGGTCTTCCTCATGTTGGGCTGACTCAAGAGGCAGATTTTGGACGGTTTTCATTACCTGTTGTTTCCATTCTTCCATTTTTTTAACTTGCTGTTTTAATGTATTGCGTTCCTGTAGGAGCTCCTCAAACTGATTACTATTAACACCTCCAACTTCATTATCAGTGCCAGAAGTTTGTAAAACTTCCAATAAAGTCTGACACTTCTGACTTAATGCATCTATTTCAATGTCTTTTTCTCTAATGATACGAGATAAATTCTGCAGAGTTTCTCTAAACATATCTTGACCACTACTTTCAAATTTGGTGGACAATGTTTTATTTTCTTCTTGAAGTTGGATGAGGGCTGCTTCTTTGGCAGCTACTATATCCATCATTTTGTGATTTTCTGTTTTCAACTGACTATTTTCTTTTGTCTTCTCATTCAAAACAGCAAATACTTGTTCTCTTTCCATAGTGAAGGTCTGCAGTTGCTGCTGAAGGTAAACAACATCCTGGGAGCATGAAACTGAAGAAATTTTAGCCTGAAGAGCTTGTATCTCCACATCTTTCTGCTGGATAATTTGAGTGAGTTTACCAACTTCATCTTTGGACAGCTGATCAATCTGTTTGGTTAAAGATAAATTCTTTTCATTTAGAAGTTTAATCTCAAGTTCTCGTTCTTTGATTCCTTTCACTAACTTTTCAGTTTCAGATTTCGATAGGTCATGTTTTTCACTTTCATTTTCTAAATTAAGGCTTTTAACTTTTGTTTCTTGAAAAATATCAGAATTCTCTGTTTGAGTATCGCATCTTTCTCCAGGCAACTGGGCTTTTAATTGTTCCATAGTTTTCTGCAAATTCTTAATTTCCTCATCCTTTTCTAAAAATAACTGGGTATGTGCAGCATTCATCTGCTCATATTGGTATCTGAATTCATCCATTTCCTTCTTCTGCTCCTGTATAGACTGAAGTAGTTGCATTTTACTCTTGTTTTGATCTTCAATTATCTTTTGATGGTGTTTAATTTCATCTTCCAGATGATTTTTTATTACATTCAGTTGAGATACCTCCGATTCTAGTTCTGTGATACCATCAAGGGTTTTAGGCTCAGCCACAGGTATAGCTCGATTCTGCTGTTCCCTAAGTCTTTCCAATTCTTCTTGCAAATGATTGTTCTCTTCTTTCATGGATCCAAGAATTCTGTCCTTTTCTTCTATGGTTTGCCTTAAAGTTTCATTTTCTCTTAAGGCCTGAGAACACTCATCTAAATCCTTTTGTAGTTCTGAACTTTTTTCTTTAAGTTTTTCAATAAAAACTTCTTTCTCATTTATAAGTTGTATCAATTGCTTCTGTTCTTCTAAATGAGATGCCAAAATTTCCTTAGTTTCTTTTTGATCAGCAGTCATTTGCTCAATATTCTTTTTGAGTCCTGCTATTTCAAAGTCCTTCTCTTGATTGAGTTGAACTACACGTTCATGTTCCAGCTGTAAGGCAGAGGTATTCAAATTACGTGCATTTGAGAGTTCCTGAATAGTCTGCCTGTAATTGTTTTCTTCTTCCAACAGTCTTTTTTCTGCCTGGTGCAATTGGGCTTCTATCTGTTCTTTGTCTCTTTTTAGAGTCTCCATAATAGTGTCTTTTTCTTGAGAAATTTGATTGTTACCAGCAATAGATTCTTCCAACTTATGTCTTATATCTTCACATGCTAAGATCAACTTTTCATTTTCCGTTTTGAGATCAAAAGCAACTTTCTTTAAATTTTCATTGAGCTGTTCTACTTCTGAAAGATTATGCCTYAAGTTGCTAACTTCAGCTTCCCGTTCTTTAAGCAAGTCATCCTTAAAATTAGAGTCTTCATTCAGAGAAATTCTGAACTTAGACAGCTCGTCTTCAATTTGTCTAATGTGTTCCTTAAGCTCAAGGTTTTCTTGCTGGATGTTTAAATTATTTTTTTGTGATTTTTTTAGCTGATCTACTAAATCTTCTACTTTATCTTCAAGCTTCTGTTTGGTTAAGTTCAAATCACTGAGGCTCTGTTCACTCCGAGTTAACTTTTCGTTCTGCACTTCCAACTCTTTGGATATGTTCATTTTATCATCCTCAAGTTGATGAACTCTCTTTTTTTCATCATCTAGATCTTGTTTCAATTTCTTGATTACAAGGTCTCCTTCATTTTGTTGTTTTGATAGCTCATCTTTTATCAAAATCATGTGCTGAAAGAAAAGTTGTATGGTAACTTTACAACATTTTCTCATTTTAGTGCCTCACGAAATTCTTGCAAAATTTTGAACATTTAATAAAGAAAATTCTTAGTCATTTTTAATCTTTCTTAAAAACAACTTTCTTTCTATCCCAATATCCCCTACAAAATTTACAATATCTTAGAGCAGATCCATTTTATCACTTTAGGGATAAGAATTTAAAACAAAAGAAGGTAAATTATATAAATTGTATATTTTCAAATTAAATAACAGARTCAACAAACTACAGACCACAGGCCTGTTTTGTATATAAAATTCACATGCCACGCTCATTTGTTTATACATCACAATTACAGAGCTGAGTAGTGGGCAACTGAGATGACATGGCTTGCAAAGCCAAAATTATCTTATTAAGTGGCACTCTACAGAAAAACTGTCCCAGTCTCTATGACTAGAATATCAATAAACTAAAACATTACTCAAATTATAAAATTAAATTATGCCTATTATGTTTTGCATGTTCACCCAGTGTTCAGTCTACTGAGTRGACAGATAGTCCTTACTATCTGTCATATAGCGTTACCTTTGTAGCTTCCTGGTTTTGATTGTCCAGTTCTTCTAACTCAGCTATCAGCATTTTCTTTTCATKGATACTCTGATTCAGTTCTTCCTCCTTTGCCTTCAAGTTAAGTTTTAAGTCATGTAATTGTACATTCAAATTCATGTCTGTTGAAGCTGTATTTTTAATTACTTCATATTCACAGCTCAATTTTGACAGTGATATCTGAAGTTCCTCCTTAAATAATAAAAGGGTGGGAGGTGGCAACACATGGTCAATTGAAGAAAAGACATCAAAATATTATATACACAAACGAATGGAATTTGGAGACCTATTTTAAATGCTGTGCATTATAAACATTAAACAATACCTCAATAATGTTAAATAAAACTCAATAAGCCAGTCTTTATTCATATGCAATTTTACTTCCAGCTTCAAGCAAAATTCTATAACCCTAACARGATGTGATAACTTTATGTTTACCTTCTAGCTCTAACTCCTTCACACAAGTCCTTTCCCAGTAGAARGCCTTTCCTATCCACTCCCACAGCTGCTTCCCTTAACCCCTCCCCCACCATACACAGACTTAACAAAACTCCTCAAGTCTCCTGGCTCTCTCTACTTTCACTTCTTAACACTCAGTCATTTAGTCACAGACTAAATGAAAATAACAAATTAATACTCATTCACTCTAAAGTTCTCCCTTTCTGAAAAGTTTTCTACTTTCCCCCTAGAATTCATCTCATTCCTTGCTTCTGTCAGAACAGGGAAACTTTTCTTGACTCAAGAAAACACCTGCCTTTCTTCCTTTACCTTCTAACAAAGCATGGACTAGGTTCCCTTCTCTCAAAGCTGACATTCCTATACATGGATCTCTATATACATTTTATAGTCTATTACTAGATACTTAATGTTTTCTCCAAAATCCCAGAGGAGGGACAGTTCTCTTTCCTTCAACCTTATTTTGATAATGTGATTATGATGTTTGTGATTATGTATCAGTGTAAAGCCTTCCTTCAATTATATAGATTTTTAAAGATTAAATTYAATTTCTAAGGAATCTAAAGTAAATAAAAATCTCAAATTCCTTCAAATAAAAAGCCTAATAATACCTTATTAAAGAGACCTAGAGCTGTGTACAATGGTGCATATCCGTAATCCCAGTCGGGAGACTGGGGGATTGAAAAGTTCAACCCAGCCTCAGCAACTTAGCAAGGCCCTAAGCAACTTAGCTTGATCTCATCTTGAAATAAAAAATAAAAAGGTCTGGAATGTGGTTACACACTCCTGGGTATTAAAGAGAGAGAGAGACAGAGAAAGAGAGAGAGAGCATGCATGCAAGAAAAGCTACAAAAGAACATCTGCATAACAACTCTCATTTCCTTCCAATTCAAAAATTTATTCTGAAAGAATAGAAAAATAGAAAAGTATCCTCCCTAAGTCTTCTAAAGTTGCCTCTTCACTTAGGAAAACCACAAACATTTTTTTTTTTTCAGTTGGATCTTAAGGGCACACATACTTATAGCATTCTTAACCAGTAAGCAGACCCATGACAGACATAAGGAAGAGTTACAATGGACTACTATAAACATCAAAAGAATGGAAAAAAGCTATGAAGACTAGCTACAGAATCCAAAAGTTTCATAAAAGGTTGCAGGTCCCCAAATATGTGTAGAGAAGTCTTCAAACTACAAAGTACACATAGGTCAGTTAAAGAGCAGAATACAATCAGAATAGAAACAGAATATATATAGTATGGTAATAAAAAAAAAAAGGTTGGGAGATATTATTGGCATTTAGTGGTTAGAAAGGGTGGTGGCAAAGATCCCATAAAGTATAGAACAGTGCAAACAACTAAGTATTTAATAAATACTGCTGGGCTGGGGATGTGGCTCAAGAGGTAGCACGCTCGCCTGGCATGCGTGCGGCCCGGGTTCAATCCTCAGCACCACATACATACAAAGATGTTGTGTCCGCTGAAAACTAAAAAATAAATATTAAAAAAATTTTCTCTCTCTCTCTCTCTCTGTCTCTCTCTCACACACACACACACACACACACACACACACTCTCTCTCTCTTAAAAAAAAAAAAAAATACTGCCTATATACCTAATGTGTGAAGGTTCTGAAAATGTTAGTTTCTATAAGAATAGCATGTTAAGTAAAGTGACATCTGTATTTTTTTAAATATTTTTTTAGTTGTCAACAGACCTGTATTTTATTTATCTATATGCTGTGCTGAGAATAGAACCCAGGGCCTCACACATGCTGGGCAAGCGCTCTACCACTGAGCTACAATCCCAACCCAGATATTTGTATTTTTAAAGCAATTTCTATGTATAATCAAATATGCCTTAGTATGTTTGAAAAGATGTACTAGAAATTGGTAACAAGAACTGCTTGTGGGAAAGAAGCCAAGCAATGAAGGAAGACGCAAAAGATTACTACTCTACATGTACTATCTGAAAATTTTCAGTAGTACTAAACATATATATCAGTAAACATGTATTACTTTTTAAAAATTAAGAATTAAATTGAATTGAAACACTGGTCTTTAACTTAATACCAGTTTTCAAATGACCCTTTATGTAAGGACCTGCCATAGATAAGGAATTTTTCCTAAGTGGTCCAAACCCAAAAAATACCTCTTCCTTAACCAATACTGTATTACAGAATCCTTTTCCATCCTTGCTATCAACATATACAAAAAAGATGCCATTTCTACCACTGAAACTGTCCCTCTTTATCCCTCTTCTTCCTGTCCCCCATGATGGATCCATTCAGGATATACACTCCAGATCTTCCACCTCACATATGTATGCTGCTGCAGTCAGAACTCCATCTGATAGTAAAACAGGGCCTATCTTTTCCACTCATTATCTGTGTGCCTACTGGCTTATCTCTACATGTAAACTCTGGCCAGCCACTCACACTCTGAWCCTTGCCCGGGTACTTCAATTTGGTCTTATAAGAATCAATGAGATCAGCTTTGTCCTCAGGACTCTATTACCAAACATTCCATTTTGATATAAACTTGTCCTTAGCTGTAAACTGTAATACATAACACCATTATAATTCTCTCCCCATTTTTCAGCACCCACCTTTTCTTGACTCAGTGATGACTTCTCTTTTTCTAAAGCTTCAACATGCATTTTAAGTTTCAGATTGTCTTCAGCAAGACTGTTATCCTACAGAAATGTTAAAGTAGTATTTTCAGAAACAGGAAATTTCCAGTTCACAAAAAAAGCAGGCTACTTACACAATTGTGTGTTTCTACTCAGTATTTCCTTAGTGATACATAAAGTTAGAAAACTATAACACTGGACCATTCAGAGCCAATCACTCATTTTAGACATTCTTAAGGAGGATTTCTTTATTATGTTTTAAAATATATGTATATATATTTAACAAAATAACCTCTAATTAATAGAAACTCCCTGAAGTTCTCAAAGAAAGTCAAAATGCATTCCTCACTTTGATATAGCATCGTACAATGTCTCTATACACATAATTTTCATCAAATTGTTCTGCACAGTTATACCTGAATTTTTCAATTATAAAAATTTTTAACCTAATATAAATTTATGGTACAAATAGTTTGTTTCTGTTATAAATTGGCAAACATAAAATTACTGTGACAAATGTTCCCAGGGTATGTTCAATGAATTTGTTAAATAACACAAAACAAACTACTCTAATAAATTACTTTTTATTAGTAAACCAATGCTAAAAGCTTTCTTCTATAACATGAGCTTACCTGGTTTAAACCATTTAGTCTCATTATTTCATTTTCAGCATCTGCAAAAACAATTAAATGAACCTGACATTACAATTATTTAGAAAGTCTTTATAATAACCTCCCATACTAAACTCAGAAAAGCAACCCCATTAAAACAAAGTGTACTTATAAGAACCATTAGCAAGCTTTAACAGTTCTGGCAAAACATTTTTCTCATTTCATACTTCTATTTTTTCATTTTTCCCATTTCATACTTCTATTTTTTCATTTCATACTTCTAGAAATCATAGTATGATGCCAGTTAATCTATGTTAAAATCCAATTCTTCAGAAAAGAATAAGTGTATTCTGTATGAATCATATGTTACTGCTTTCATAAAAATACTAACAACAACTGTATTTCCAAATGAGCTGATTAGTTTGGGCAACCAGGAATAGTATAAGGCTTAAGACTCGGGGAAAAGAAACTCAAAAGTAACAAATATATATTTATATTACAACAATACAATAATATCTCAATTATCTTAGGTAATTTAAATATGAATGTACTACATACAGATCCATAAATAGAAGAGATTCTGGAAGAAGAATACAGAAACAGAATACCGTGAGCTCAGCTGAAGTCATTCATTTAACATTCAGTTGGAGAAATATTGAGCATATATGATGAGGCCAATACCAGATAAGGCAAAAATTTAGTCCTTGCTCTTAAAGAGCTTACAATTCAGAGGAGAACAAGTAAACATGTGATTATAATACAGTGTGATACAGCAAACAAAAAGGAACCATGAAAGCAAAAAGGGCAAACATCTAGTAGAAATTAGGTGGAGAAAATGGGGCCAGAGAAGAGTCAGTGCAAGTACTGGACAATGAAGGTAATACCTGTATTAAACCACTACACTAAGAGTTAGCTCAAAGAAACGTAAGGATACTCCACACAAAGAGAATGCAGCAAACAAAACAGTGACAGAGCTCAGACAAGACTGTTGGCTTAAGCTACAGACAGTTCAATATGGTTAAAGCTTAGAATGGTAGAATGGGAAGAATAGAAACTGAAGAGTAGACAGGTATCAGATCATGAGGGGCATTACATGTACGACTACGGAAGTCTAGACTTCATCTTGAAGTTCCTGGTGAGCAATAAAGTACTTTTTAAAAAGCAGGAGAATAATCTGCTTTGTGTTTCTGAAAATTTATTCTTGCTACAAAATGAAAAAAATAAAATGAATTGAAGGAGGCAGCATGGGAGCCTGAGAATTAAATTTTGTAACATTGACATGAATAATAATTGACATGGACCACTTTTCTAAAGAGAACTCTGCAGCAAGTAACTCACAAAACAACAAACAAGGAAGATATTATTATTCCAACCACATACATGAGAAAACTGAGGCAGAGAGATGTTAGCTAACTTACCCAAAGTCATCTAGTTAGTGACAAAAGTTGGATTCCAGCCCAGTCTTATTCTTAAACACTACACTATTATGCTCAAGCGGGCGCAGTGGTGCATGCCTGTAATTCCAGCGGCTCAGGAGGTTGAGACAGGAGAATAGGGAGTTCAAAGTCAGCCTCAGCAATGGTGAGGCACTAAGCAACTCAGTGAGACCCTGCCTCTAAATAAAATACAAAATAGGGCTGGGGATGTGGCTCAGTGGTCAAATGCCCCTGAGTTTAAACCCCAGTACACATAAAAATTGAATAAATAAAAAGAGATCTACCATAGTTAACACGAGCAAAAGCAATTATGATTAACTGAAATGAATCATGGCAATGGAAATGGGAAAGGGGATAAGGACTAGAGCAGTAGATTTATTTAAGCAAATGATGGATCACCTGATATAATTAAACTTATTTTATAAAAGAGCAGAGTTATTCTGATTGAAACCAAATGAGAAAGAGGTCCAGGACCTTACACTTCACTGCCTTCCCTTTACCTGCATGGCAGCTCTCAGGACAGATGAGCCTGTGAGAAACCCTGGAACTCCTCTGGGATACAATCCTGAAATATCACTCGGCCAGAGAGAAGAAAAGAAAACCCATAGGACTTGTCAGTGATGACTTCCAGCATTCTGATTTGAGAGACCAGTGAATACTACCAATCACCAAGGCTAGGAAAGGAGAAGTTGACAATGATTTTACTTTGAACCTAACTTTAGTTCAAAAACCCAGGTGATATATAGAGTTGGCCGACTAGATCAGCAGCTGGAGAAAAAAGGCAGCTGAGGGGTACAGATGTGGGGAGTAACAAGCATACAAGGATTGGAAACTTCCAGAGCAGTAATGAATGAGTTCATAAAGTGAGGGTTTATACTTTGAGAAGATAATGAAGTGCAAAATAAAATGCATCTTTTCAAGCTGAAAAGCTCTCATTATATGTTCCTGGAATGTATGAATACTAGTGATTTATCTATCTAATTTAATATTTTTGTACCAGTGAACACATCAACTTGAGCATGGAAAACAGTAGATGACCTAAAGTTCTTATCATTTGGGCCTCTGCTTCAATTTAGGAAATCATTTAAAAGGGTAACAATGGACTTGTAAAGATGGAATGCTGCATTCCCTGAATGGAGAGTCTGGGCTGTGATAAGTTATAGAAAGAATTCAGTTCTGTGTAGACTAAAAGAAACAGTACCTCTCCACAGCAATGTGTGCACTGGATTTACTTCTCAGAAATCCATAAGGCTTCCTAAATCGCTGACTTCCATGTAAATACATAAAAAATAAAGGAAGGCTAAGAGACACCTAGTCAATAATTGACCCATTTTGATAGAAAAGTATTTTTTGTTGCCTATTAGCTATGGCAATGAATTCACACCAAACAATTTTAATCAAATTATAGACGGTTCCACAAATACTCCATTTTCATGAAGTATTTGTCTACTAAAGTATGTGTGTCTCTAAAAACAATTCCAAAGCACTGAAACAATAATCTGAAATAAGTCCCAAGCATTCTATACCAGACAGGGCTTGTTGCAGCCTGAGCACTTCTTCTACTGTTGAACTCTGTGGAAGAATTTTTCCCTTTTCTGCCACAGTAGCACTCTGCTCCCTCCCAGAAGGCTGCAATTTACTACATTCCAGTTTCAAGTTTTCACACTGTTCAATCATTTGTCGCTTTTCCACACTGAGTTGTTCCTGTTCTCTTTTCAAGGTATCTCTGTCATTTTCTGCAGAAGATAATTTTTTATTTATGTCTTTGATTTTTTCCTCAAGTTCTTCAATCTTTCTTTTAGATTCTACTTTTTCAGTTTGTAGAACCTGAATAGTCTTCTGCATCTCACAGATTTTAGGCTCATCAGTTACTATAACTCCTGAGTCACCTAGAACATAAACAAAGTCAAGGACATCATGTGTTAAATATCAAGAAGTAAATACTTACTATATATATAACTAAGATTCGAGTTCCGAACTTGGAAAGCTTAAAAAGAAAATTTAAATTACTATCTTAAACTAAACACTTTAAAAATAAATAAAAAATTGGAGAAACATCAGAATCAACTACTAAAAAGCCAATGTATCTGAAAATATCTTGAATCATTTATTACCAACATATCATCACCAAACAATGCAACAAAGAAATCTACGAGTTGTAATTGTTTACCATAAAAGCAAAAAGGACCTTTCCATTTTACAGAATCTTGAAAGCTATGTCATTTTCTAAACATCTGCCAAATGAGTAAACCAATCACTTACTCATTTTTTGGAACTTAGTCCAAGTTTACAGCAGTGTCCTGGTCTTAGAGTACTAGTTTGCCATTTGTGTCATCTAATATGTGAAACTACTAAAATTAATAACCTTGTTGTAACTGATTTTCAAGTTCTTCAATTCGTTCTTCATAGTCACGTAACTCTTCTCGATGCCGGCGACTTATCTCTGCCAGTTTCTGTTGATGTGCATTCTGCAAAACTGACATTTCATGTTGATGTTCATCTATGTCTCGACTTCGGTTTTGTTCAAGTACCTTAAAAAGTAAAACAAAATTAACCACATTTATGATCAATAAATTTACCTAAGCTATTTATTTCACTATCATCCAAGGTCTGTATTATTAAAATTACTTCTCTAAGCATATTAAGGCTGAAAATAATTTAAACAGTTCCAAAATTTGAACAATTTGGAAAGACTCCCCCCCCTCCTTCCTGTCTTAAACCTTAAAAACAGTCATCTCTCTCCACCACCCTCTGCCCCACACGAATACTAGGAACTGAACCCAGGGCCTCTGACATGCTAGGCAAGTGCTCTACCACTAAGCTATATCCCCACCCCTTTTCATTTTTACTTTGTGACAGTCTCACTAAGTTGCCCAGGGAGGGCTCAAACTCATAATCCTCCTGCCTCAGCCTCCCAAGCTGCTGGGATTACAGGCGTGCACCACTGAGCCCAGCTAGTTTTTCTATTTTTTTTTTTAAATATTTTTTTTAGTTTTATGTGGACACATATCTTTATTTTATTTTTATGTGGTGCCCCCTGCATGCTAGGAGAGTATTCTACCACTGAGCCACAACCCCAGCCCGTAGTTTTTCTATTTTTAATGAGGGAACATCAACAAGAAAATACTGAAAACAAAAGATGAACATAAACTTCTCCTTTTCCAAACAACATATTCCACCATTACCAGCATCAACCCTTTGAGAAATCTGTACCTGTTTTCCTACTACCACTATTCTCTTGCTCAGCCTTTCCTTCGCCAGGCCTACTGGAACTCCCAACTTTCAACCAAAGTGCTTTATTACCCAAGTTGAGACCAATAATGCTTCTCCAGAAACCTGGACATGGAAGCATCCTGAGAGCTGCATCCTTAAAAGTCTATATACTGTATCTTGCTAGATTCCTGATGCTGCTCCCATTTCTGTCCTTCCTGATGCCAGAATGCTCAACTCTTCCTTCAGTCCTACAGACAGACTATTGTGGATCCTTCCAGTAAATCCTCTTTTGCTTTATTTAGCCAGAGAAAGCTTTTACTGCTTATAACTTAAGAATCCTAATCTATACAATAGCTATTTTTTCTTGAGGTGTAAGTGTAAGTCATTCTTTAATCCTATGCACTTCTGTGCCAGCACTGGACTCAAAGCCTTATATGTAAACCTCACAACAAACCTATACGGTAGGTAAAACAACCATATCTAGTTTACTGATAGCAAAAGAGAAGCTTAGAAAGGTTAAGAAACCTGCCCAAAGTAGAACTATTGGTAAATAGCATATCCAGGTCTCACTCTGGAACTTATCACATATTACTATTAGAATAACAATAAACCCCCAAAGTAAAAATTCTATATCTGACAATAATTTCAGCACTAAAAGCAATTCACTATCACAATAAACATATAAACTATGCCTTTTCTTAAAAGAAATAATAATTGACAGAAACTAGCGAATTTCTACCACTAAAGTAAAACAATTCTTTCCAATAAAAAATAGTAGCATTTTATTGTCAATATCCTTCAACTCTAAAAACCTTGAAACTTCAGCAAGCTTGAAATTCTGTTAATGCAGATTTGTGAGACAGAGTACACACACATATGAAAAATAAACTACTGAAAAAATGTTCAAAACCAAATTATTTTGGAAAGAGATATTTTTATATACCTTACTTGTCATAAAGTTAATATGAACCAGTTAAAATTGTATATCATAATCYATAATCACTCTTAATTAAGACTTTTAGTAATTATGCTTATATTTTTACATACAGATTTTAGATGCATAAAAGTTAATGACAGGGGCTGGGGATATAACTCTGTTGGTAGAGTGCCTGCCTTTCATGCACAAGGCCCTGGGTTCAATCCCCAGTACCCGCCCCCCCCCCACACACACACACACATCAACGACAAACAACATCTGACCTACCTTGATAGTATTTTGTAGTTTGCAGATTTCACTTTGATCAGAATTATGTGTTCCCTGTGCCTTAGAAGTTCAGAAAAAGAGAATCAGAAAACAACACCAATTTTGTTATAAAACAGAAATTCACTAACTTTATTAAAAGATACTTGTCAAAAAAGAAGAATTTCCCAAATAGATTCTAACTCAAGGATGCCAAGAACTTTGTTCAGTAGAGAGTAGTACATAATAAAAGATACTAATATACAAGAATGTGTTGACTAATTGGGGAGACAACAGTTTTGCAAAATATCTAAATTTAAGATAAAAAAAACAATATTTTATTTATTTACGTAGCTTAAATATTTATTTATGTAGCTTAAATATTCAATGTGAGAATAATTAAGCAGTGTTCTAAAAGGTACTTTCTGAAAGCTACCCAATATTAATGCTAATGATGATCTAGTAAAAATCTTTTAAAGATGATTATATATATATATATATATATTTTAGTTATAGATGAACACACAGTATCTTTATTTTTATGTGGTGCTGAGGATCGAATCCAGTGTCTCACTCATGCAAGGCAAGCACTTTACCACTAATAATAGCCCCAACCCTATTATTTAGATTGAAAAGAAAATAAAAGAACTTTGGATTTTTCTTATTCAAAGCTGTATGTTTTTCATTTACCTTTTTAAAATGTTTACTTGATACCTAATAGCTGTACATATTTATGGGGATACAAGTGATGTTTTGATTTATTTATACATTGAGAATGTTCAAATCAGGGTAACTAGCAGTATTATCTCAAACACTTAGCATTTATTTGTGGTGATTACATTCAAAATTCTCTCTTCTAGATATTTTGAAATATACTATATACTACTGTTATCTACAATCACCCTAGTACCCAAAAGATCATCATAATTTATTTCTKCCATCTAACTAATTTTGTACCCACTGACCAACCTCTCCCCATCCCTCCCTCTACCCACCAATGTGCTAGGTTACCATTCATTTATCCTTATTAACACTTAACTATATATCATGTTAATGAACCAAAAAGACAGTATAATGGAAAGAATATAGTATTTGGCAGTCAAGAGATATATATTTGCTTTGTAACTTAAATCACTATGACAATGAGGGTGTTACTTTTGGAAATAACTTTGTTTCCCTGTTTGTAAAACAGAAGTAATGATTATTTCCTACATAGACATATATGCCTCACTAGAAAATTAAGCCCCTGTAAGGTCCCAAATATGCCCTTTTCACCTTTATATTCTAGAAGWGATCTATCACAAACTAGGCAAAAACCCATCTTCCCCTATGAAATCTTACCCTCAACAACATTTCTTAAAATGTATCCCCCTTGGGATTAATCAGAATCACCTGGGAGTATGTATTCATTTGAACACTGTTTCCAAGGCCCTGAAATAAATTACTAAATAAATCTCCAGAGATAAAACAGGAAATCCCTGATATTATCAAGTTCTCAAGGTTATTTTTACACATACAAAACTTAAGAATTACTGCTTTTTAGAGATAAAATGGACAGATTGCCCTTACTACAGTTTACTTTAGGTATTGGGAATGTTTAGCAACATGGGAAGCATGCAGATCATTTTAATTAGGAAGATTTCTCCTTTACATAGCTAGATTACATTCACAAAAAGACAACAAAAAAATCTAAGTATTTACTTTGTTTTTCCCCCTACATGAATGAAGTTAAATCCAAGTTAACAATTTATCATTTTATTCTAAGTCTTGTGTCTTTTGCCAACCTCCACAGTCTATAAAATCTGATRTGTAAGACAAAAATAAATGTTCCTTGGAAAAAAGTTTATATCTCCCAAATAGCAAGTATTTCATTTCCGATACATGTGAAAAAAAATCACAAAATAATTTAACATATTTTATAATACCAGTGATCAGATTTTCATTTTATATATTACTAGAGCTAACAAAAATCTCAGATAAAAATCCAAGGAAATAGTGTCAAACATAGTGCTCTGGAGCCCTAGTGTTTCCATCAAAGAAGTCTCAGAGACTTCAGGGGGAAAAGATGCTAGCTCCACTCAATTCTTCCTTCTTTTCTTTTTTCTTGCTTTCTTTTTTTTTTTTTTTAATTTTTTTAGTTGAACATGGACACAATACCTTTGTTTTTCTTATTTACTTTTATGCAGTTCCAAGGATCAAACCCAATGCTTCACTTTGCAGGGCAAGCACTCTGTCACTGAGCTATAACCCCAGCCCCTCAATTTTTCTTTTGATTCCTGGGCTTGTAACTTTTATTTTGAAAAATGGATCTGTTGCTTTAAAATTTTTGAAAAAAAAATTCCAAATATTGTACAGAAGGGGAAAAGGAAGCTGAGAGAGAAACATAACCTGACCAAAACCACTGAGAGAACCACTGGCAGAATTAGAATATAGATTTTCTATTTTCTTGTCCAGGATTATTTCTGATACCAAACACTTCACATACTGCTTCCTAAATAGCATCAATATTTTTACTCATTCACAGTTTTAAAAAAACTCACCCACATTTTACCTACCTCAGCAATATGCCTCCAATGGCCAACTTCAGATTCAAGTCTTGAAACTTCAATTGACAATCTGTTTATTTCTTGTTGTGATGAAATTATGTCACTAAAGTCCATGTCATCATCACGAAAGGCTGAAAAATGACTACTCATTCCGTAAACAAATGAAGACGGTGCAGTGGTTGTTGGTATACCACCAGCTCCTGACTGTACCGATTGAGCAGCTGACTGTAGTTTCAACAATTGATCTTGTAGTGCAATCTGTCTTGCTTTAAGGTGGCTGATTTCTACCTATATATTTATAATCCATGTTTTAGAGAAAGTACTTTCAAACAAATTGATCTTTTTAAACCTTCATTATATTAAAAGGTAGAATGATTTGTTTAAGACTAATCATTCACTAAGTATCTTTTAAGTGAATCCAAGTCACTTACAACATCCCAACTATAAAATTTTTATTTAAAAAAACATAATTACCATAGCACATATATTTTAAGTAGTATGAAGATCAAATTTTTACTCATATATTAAGTAAAACAATAAATTTATCAGTTAAACACAGGTTTCCTATCTTCTATGAAAGGGCTAATACAGACTATTTCTTAGGGCTCTTTTGTTGTTCATCAAACCTTATGATGAGAAAATGAAAAGCTGTGTCAATCTATATATTAAATTTTCTTTAGAATTTCTGCTGGAGGTCAGTAGTGGTACATGCCTGTAATCTCAGACTCAGGAGGCTGAGGAGGTAGAACTGTAAGTTCAAGGACAGCCTCAGCAACTTAGTGAAACTCAGTCTCAAAATAAAATCTAAAAATAATTTTAAAGGGCTGAGGATGTAGCTCTATGGTATAGCACCCCTATGTTCAATCCCTGGTACTTGAGAAGAAAAAGAAAAGGAAAAAGAATGAACAAACAAACATCTGTTGCAAGAGTCTTGTGTATCTGATTATGGCTGAATTTAGTCTTAAAATGCACCATGAATCAGAGATAATGCTTCTCTACACAACACAGCTGGAATAATGCTTTGATTTATAGATCCATTCTTTGTAGATAACACAGTAAACCCATGGTTATTAGCTCATGAGTCTCAGAAGGAAATAATGCACTCAAAGAGGCCCTGGCTTTAATACTGGCAACAAGCAGGCAGTGAAAATCTGACCCTATTCAGGAAGAGAACAGTATACAAAAGTTCTGAAACCCTGAGCAGAGTTTTGATTAAAGGCTGGCCATACTAAATCATAACCCCCCAAAATTATGAACATAGGACCTACCATAATGCCACATCCATTCTGAGTGAGAGAATACTCAAGTAAGCCATCTAGACACAACTGAAATAACCTTAAACTAGCCTAAGACACTAGCATAATATGGTAGTATAAGATATTACYATAACCAAGGAAAACTTGATATTGGGAAAATAGCCAGGAGGTAGCAAGATTTCTACAGGTGTAAAACTAATAGTCAAACAAAAACCAAATACATGTATACTTTATGTCATAACAAACAGATTTTTCATATTAGAGCCCCTTTCTCTAGTACAGACTTACAATAGTATATAAATTTTATTCTTTTTCCCATAAATGATATGAGATAAACTGCATCTTCAGGGAATAGAGACATCACAAAGAGTGTAGCAAGCAGATTCAGAAAACAGCAGAGGTAYATAGTTATGTATTATCATTCATTCTACTAAAAAATACTGAAATCCATATTTTAGATATATTTTTAACACAGAAAGAGTTGTCATTATACCATAAATATTTACATCAAGTTTTAGAGCTATTCAAGTGCAAGCTTTAATAATAACAACAAATTCCAACTTGAATGTTTAATGTGTTCTCTAATATCAATAGTTAAAAAGAAAATAAAATGCCAAAATTTTCCACACAAGTGTTTCCAACTATGGGGTGAGCATTAGAATCATATGGAAGCTTCTGAAAATTACCAACATCAAGGTCCCTTCCCAGTACACTAATCTTCCCAGGATACTCAGAATCTTCTGAGGTGTATAAACATGTATATTTTTTAAAGGTGTCACTAATGATTCAGCTGCAAACCCCTGGTTAGGAACTACTATTTCTATCATCATGTCCGTTAAGTCAGTGCTACTCAAAGTGTGATCCAGGGATTGATGCCATGTACATTTGCTACCAGTCCACAAATACGGAAATTCAAAGAGTAAAGTCTAAAGACTTTGAAAGCAGTTTAGCAATAAACTGTTATATCTGTGTTGAATCTTTAAAAAAGAGAAAAAAATGGGTTTGTAAAAAATTAAGCTCTAAAAATTAAGCACGGTGGCACATACCTATAATCCCAATGGGTTTCACAAAAAAATGATGTACAATATAAAAGGTCACAGAATAATAGCCTTTAAAATGCACTTTCAAATTAAAGCTACAAATGCATTTTGTATACATTTTACCCTTGCAGAAATTTGTTTTTATTATATTATGTAAAATTATAAATTGCCATCAGTTTGAAAATTAAACTCTAAAGCTAGGCATGGCGGCACACACTTGTAATCCCAATGAGTTGGGAGGCTGARGCAGGAGGATCATGAATTCAAAGCCAGCTTCAGCAACTCAGCAAAGCATTAAGCAATTGAGTGAGACCCTGTCTCTAAATAAATTACAAAAAAAAAGGTTGGGGATGTAGCTCAGTGGTTATGTGTCCCTGGGTCCAATCCCTGGCACCAAAATAAAGAAAATTAAAGCTCTACTTTAAATGTGTATATTTACCCTCAATTTTTAACCTTAGCATGTCACTAAGGAACTAGAAACCAATTCATCTAACTTTAAAAACCCAAATAGGAAGTTACAGCAGAAATGAATTCTTAGTAAACAAAGTGAGTATTGAAATAATATGGATAATAAAATAGGAAATGGTTCAATTCAAAGTAAGTTTTTATTGGACTCCACTTATGTACTAAACATGAAAAAGAATTCAGTAACAGCATGACACATAGAAACATAGTCCATATTTTAAGGATGCAGGTAACACTGGTTAAATTATATAATATCACTAATACTGCAAAGATAAGCCAATTCCAAAACAAACATTTCAATCAAACTAGAAAAAAGCAAAAACATTTATAAAACAGTAAAAATCAATTATAATGTACTTAATTTTATTTTTCCATGGAAAATCAAATATATGCCAACATAACAGACACTTGTACAACTTAAGAAAATAGTTAAGAATAGTATTGAGATTATGAAATAGTTAATAGATTTCATAAAATTAGAAATTATGAGCAACAGATGCCTGAAGATATTTTAGAAAAAAAAACTTTTCTTCTTTTAGAAAGTAGAAATTAATCTCTGCAAAGGTTAGTTTTTATAATATAAATAAAAGTTTACCAAGTTTTATTGAATTCAATACCCTTTCAATATTTTTATGGATCTAAAAATAATGGTGAAATAAATACAAAGTAATTGTAATAACCTTTACCTCTTTCTGCTGCAGTTGATTTCGGTAACTTGCAGACTGATGCTTTATTTGAAGCTCTGATGCTTCATGCTTTTCTTCCAGATCAGTACAATACTTCTTAAGTCTTTCATTCTAGAAGCAAAGAAAGTATTTTCAACAAAAAGAATACAAATAAAACAGGTTAGTGATTGCTACTGCACAGCATTGTTTCACAAAAAAATTGATGTACACTATAAAAGGTCACAGAATAATTGCCTTTAAAATGCACTTTCAAATTAAAGCTATAAATGCATTAAGCATGTTTATATAGAATATGCCTAATCCTAAATCAAATTTGGGTGCAGATTTTGCTTCTTTGATTTTATGCTATAAAGTCACTGATCACAGGTCTGGGACTGTGGCTCAGTAGTAGAGTGCTTGTCTCAAATATGTGAGGCACTGGGTTCGATCCTCAGCATCACACAAAAATAAAAATGAAATAAAGGCATTGTGCTCATCTACAACTAAAAACAAATATGTAAACAAAAAAGAGTCAATACATAGTTAAATGAATTAAAGAACACTGTCTATTCTGAGTATGTTTGTTTTGAAACAGAGTTTCACTATGTTGACAAGACTGGCCTAAAACTCCTGGGTCCAAATAATCCTTCTGTCTCAACCTTCTGAGTAGCTAGGACTACAGGTAAGTACCACCACACCCAGCTTTAGATATGTTTTCAAAAACCAGAAAAATTCAGAATAAAAACCTGGACTTTAAGTTAAACTTAAAATATTACCATTTCTAAATAAAAGTTTTAAAATTATCACTTTATTCATACCTCATGTAAATTATTTGTAAAAATGACAATATAAAAATATTAAGAGTACACTGGACGAAAGATCACAAATGTGAGGACTACTTTCTTGGCACATAGAGAATTAAGTTAGCTTAGGGTGGTTGCTTTTACTTACAACTAAATAATCTTAACTAAGTTAGGCGCGGTGGGACTTGTAATCCCAGCAACTCAAGAGGCTGAGGCAGAAGGATTCCAAGTTCAAAGCCAACCTCAGCAACTTAGCAAGGCACTAAGCAACTTAGTGAGAACCTGTCTCAAAATAAAAAATAAAAAAGGGCTGGGGATGTGGCTCAGTGTTTAAGTGCCCCTGGGTTCAATACCCAGTACTCAAAAAAACAACAACAACAACAAAAAAACACCCTAACTAATTCAGTCAGCTAAAACATTTAACATCAGTAAGCAAATCTAATTTGTAATGGAAAACACACTACTCTTCTATACTAAACTTTCTAAACAGACTATTCAGAAATATCATTATCTTTTTTATTTTATTTTAGTTTAACAGCAGTGAGACCTGGATGGTGATATGTTGCATAGTTACAGAAAAGATTATGATGTCCTAAGAGTTTTAATGCCACCAAGAATCACACAGTTAAAATTACCTGACAAATAAAGCCCTTTTTTCCTTTAGTATTTGAGTACCTCTGGATAAGTACCAATGAGGAAGCTAGATCACATTTGAGTTTTACCAAAAATAAACATTTCTAAACATTGAAATCATACTTGCCATAGATCCAATAGACATTCACTGAACAAGTTAACCATATTTACTTTTCTCCCCAAATGGGTCATGGGGAATTCACCTAGGTTAATGCCACTCACACATATACTTCTGCTGTTTAATTTTTCTGGGTGAGTCTGTACCAATGAGTACTTTTTAAAGAATTTCCTATCTCAGCCATTAAGTTCATCTGTCACTACAGCACCTACTTTTCTTATTAAGTCATTACTGCTAACGACCCTTAGTGCCACCAAATTGTCTACACACAGAAAGTTAATACAGTTCTACAGGGGTTTCGATACTTTCAATTCCACAAACTCATCTTGATATTCTAGACCAGAGTTCAACAATGTTTGTTAGTAGTATTTTCTTATATCTAAATCCAATGTTCTTTTTATAACTTAGTAGAAAGGAAACACACTTTCCATAGTGCTCTAACAATACCTTTTGCTGCAATTCAAGTGCTCTCTCACTGTTATTATTCCAATGCTAACTAGTTGACTTTTATTCCTTAACAATAGCTTCTACTGTGAAATCCTTTCCTTTCAAGGCTTTCCTTTGAACCCCTACCAAGTTTCCCCATTAAGCACAATGTCTAGAACTAGTCACAACTAGACATTAATAACAAATAAAACAGCAAAATTAACTTGCTATTCCTATATTCTTAACTTCTCTGTACCCAAATATTATTCTCTCAACATTAGAATATAAAAAAACTCTAGATTAAACAATCCCATTCTTCATATCATACTTAAATGTACTACCATAATTTAGCATTCCTTAATAATGATAAACTTTTGCCCCTATTACTTCTACTTTTGGCAGTTTTCCTACTTTCAATATGTAGAAGTACAGAGGAAAATACTAAAGAACAACAAACTGTTGTCATGAAAATAAATTCTTCATCTAAGTAAGCCTCCTAAAAGTTAAAAAGAAACAAGATACACAGAGGAAAAAAAGTGGTAAGCAATGTAAAGAGAACTGAAATCCTGAATAACTTCATGGTTTCAAAAGAGAAAAATCTAAGTTTGATAGTAGTCTTCAATTTTCCTTACCTCAGATCTTAGTGTAGATTCAGTACCTTCAACTTCCTTTCTCTGACAATTAGGTAAACCTGCTACAAAAGAAATTCATATATTGAATATTTGGTCAACACCATATGATGGAATAAATAGGCTTTCTGTGTGTGTGCGCTGCGGATTGAACCCAAGGCCTTGAACATGCTAGGCAAATGCTCTACTACTGGGGCTCTACATTCCCAGCCCTCAGTAGGCATTTTAAGAAAAACACATTTCACCGAGTTTAAATAGAATAGTATGGGCTGGAGTTGTGGCTCAGTGGTACAGTGCTTAACTAGCATATGTGAGGCACAGAGTTCAATTCTCAGCACTGCATATAAATAAATAATATAAAGGTCCACCAACAATTAAAAAATAACAATAAACAGAAAGTAGGCTGATACAAGAGCAAATTCAGAAGATATTTATCATATGATTTTCACCACAACTTATCATTGCCACTAATATTCTTCATTGTCACATGGGTCATTCTCTTTGCCAATCTCCTACACCTTAGGATGTCTACCTTTAGTAGCTACTACAGCAGACAAAAAGTGCTGACTTTCTCAGTGAAAAAAACACAATGTCCATCATTTTTCAATGTTTACTACTTGCTGAGAGTATTTATCAAAATTTTGTTACAGGAAATTAGAAGTTTTTGTAAATTTCTCTTTTTGGCTTGTCATAGTTTTAAATGAAACATATTCAACTGGGGCTTTAAGGCCCTATTTCTACTTCATTTTTTTTTTTTTTGGTACTGGAGATTGAACTCGGGGGGACACTCGACCACTGAGCCACATCCCCAGCCCAATTCTGTATTTTATTTAGAGACAGGGTCTCACTGAGTTGCTTAGTGCCTCGCCATTGCTGAGGCTGGCTTTGAACTCTCGATCCTTCTGCCTCAGCCTCCTAAACCACTGGGATTACAGTAATGCACACCATACCTGGCTTGTATTCTATTTTTAAATAGAAAACAAATAAAATAGGTATTAAGCAAGTCCTATTGTAATACCAAGGGAAAGGAATAAAAGCTTTGAGCAACTCAGCAGATTTCTGATCACTCACATTTTTATTGACCATCTACTGTGTACCAAGGAAGATGCCACATACTGGACATATAAGGAGAAAGAAAAAAATACCATCCCCACCCTGGGCATCAAGGAAAATGAGCAATTATAACTCAATATGGTAAGTGTTGCTAGGCAGAGATCCTCAAAGTTCTGTTAGAACACAGAACACAGGCAATCAATTCAACTTGCGTAAGAGTCACAATGATTTCACCAAGTGCCTGATCTGTGAGCAGGGTTGCTGGAAAACTGTTTTCCAGACAAAGGAGGAAGTAGAGAAGAAAAGGCTTTCTGTGAAGAGGTCTGGAGTTCTGTAGGTGCCTGACAAAGTTCTGTGTGACAGGAGCTCTAGGTATTGGCACACATGCATATATAAATAGATTAGGCATGGCAATTGGCAAGGCAATTAGAAAAGGAAGGTTGAACCCATATGGACAATTGTTGGCCTTCTAAAACTAAGAAATTTGACCCTGTGATAGGTCAAGAAATTTTTAAGCAAATTTGTTTTTAGAAAGTAACTGACACTGGGCACAGTGGCACATCCTTATAATCCCAGGGACTTGGCAAGCTGAAGCAGGAGGACCACGATGAACTGTCAATAGACAGTTGCCAGCCTTAGCAACTTAGCAAGGTCCTAAGGCCCTAAACAATTTAGTGAGAACCTGTTAAAAAAAAAAAAAAAAAAAAAAAGGGCTGGGTATGTGGCTCAAAGGTTAAGCACTCTTGGGTTCAATCCCTGGTACCAAAAAAGAAAAGAAAAAGAAAAAGAACTGGTAATACAGCAGAAAATAGAATGGAGTCCGGAAAGGATGAAAAAGCACTGAAGAAGTAGGAACAATAAAGGAAAGTACAATTTTGACATAGGCCACAAGAATTTGGTGGCCAATGGGAAGTAGATAAAAGACAAAATAACATGACATGAAAGATTCCTAGTTCAGAAAATTGAGTAGGTACTGAAACTGCTAAGATTGATATTATGGGAGTACCTTTAGTAGAGGAATAAAATTGAGGTCAAAGGAACAGCCAACTGCTTTCCCCTATCTGAGATACAAAGTTAAACCTTGTCATTTTCCATAGTTTTCAGCCTCTGTTTCTAACTGCCCTCAAGTCCAACAACCCTTTACTAGACACACGAAGAAAATCTTTCATTACCATCTCTAAACCTAACATACCTCCCATCCAAATAGAACTGGAAGCAGTAAAATGGATTTTGATTTTGGCAGCTCCACAATCTCACTTCTTCTCAAATAGACAGCACACCGAAAAACTAAATGTAAGCACTTTTTATCAAACCATTTTTCTCTATTTCAACCAAATAAATATGAAGGATTGGTTAAATAATGATTAAAAACAAAACTAGGGAGCTGGGGGCTAAAAAAACTCAGGGGTAGGGCAGTGCTTAGCATGTGTGTGAGCCCATGGGTTCAATCTCCAGCACCCCAAATTAAACCAGAATGCTAATTTATTAATTTATAAGAAATAAGTCTATCAAAAGAATTGCTCTCATCTGAATGAGCAGCCCATTATCTCCCATAGTCATAGGCAGACTATGATTTTAAAACTCTCTTAATCCAAACCCTACTTGCTAAAAGAAATGTCAAGAAATAAAAATGGTCCCTTTTGGTCACTGTTCATTAACAAAATACGATGAACTGTCAAGAGACAGTTGCTAAGGAATCCCCAAAAATGGAGGATCTTCCCCGTTCCGTTCCATTGAAATACGGGAGAAACGGGCAATTATATAAAAAATACATTTTTAGCTGGAACGCTGTAACATGCCATCACTATGAGGAAAGGCACAAAACAATTTACCTGAAAATCACAGGCATATTTCACTAATAAATAATATACTCAAGACAGCGTAAAGAGTCACCAGATGTTTTAATCATGAGTTATTTCCCTTGTTACAAAAATCAAAGAAAACAAAAAAGTATATGTCGTAGACCATCCTTTTAACTGTATCGAAATAAAGGAAGATGATCAAAATCAGACCGCCCCCCGCCCCAAACTGSGGGCAAACTGACTGGGAGGCAAGGACAGACCCAGCAAAAAGAAACCTCAGCGCAGTTTCACTCCGCTTTGACAGGTCCAGGGTACCCAAAGGGAGCCTCCCCAGCACCCCACCGGTTCTCATTAGAGAACTGGTAGAGAACAAGGCAGTGCCAAAAAGGAAAAAAGGGCGGAGTGGCACTCCCCCGCGACCAGTCGCGTCTGACCGGCRGAGGTGGGAACCAAACGGACGCTCGCAGGGTCCCAGAAAAGCCCTCCCTCCCCGCCCCAGCTGTTACCTTCTGCGTTTTCTAAATCATCCAGAAGCATGTCCCTGGTGAAGCTGGAGATCTGGTCGGTGAGAGAAGCCAAGCTGCCCCCCACCTGACCCAAGGAGTGGCCCCAGCCGGAGCTTAGGCCCCCAAACCAGGACGACATCGCTGCAACTTCAGTGAGCCATTGGACCCGCTCCGAAAACCGCGACCATCAACCATCCACTTCTCGCCCCCGAACGTCCTCGAGCGTTGCGGGGTCAATTATGACCGAAGCACTCAGAATTCCACGCAGTGCGGGGCTCGAGCCAACCGTCGCGTTCTGCCCATAAACGCAGAGGCCTGGCCTGGGCTTTTACCGGGGACTCGCCGCCAGTGGCACAGTCAGCCCCGCGGGGCCTCTGCTCCTTCCCTCGACTTTCCGCCGTCCGGCTTGGGTGACTTCTCCCTCTGTGTTAGTGACTTGCCCCAGCTCGGCGAGCTGCTCCTGCCACCTCGACGCCGGCCGCCATAACACCTCTCTCGGAGACCGGCAGAACCATAGAGAGGCGCCGCCGTGGCGCAGAAGGGCCCTGCAAAACCTCCGGACGTGTCCTTGGCGCAAAGGAAAGTGGGATCGCGGAGGACCAAGCGCGAGCGGGCGCGACCAACCTCCTCCACGTAGCCCGCAGGCTGCGAAGCCAGAAGAACCGGTGGCGRTGCGACGCTCCCAAGCTACCTGCGCGGCTGAGTTTCTAGCTAGAGTCGGCTCTGCGGAACGGCGTTGTGTCGTTGAAATCCGACTCCATCCTCGAGGGCGGCGGTGCGGACTTGGCGGGGTCATCACACCGCTTCTAATAACTTWTCCACGTTACTCCATCACTTATCCAGTCAGTGCGGGGCCGCTCTGTGCCGGGCACTATATGTAGTCACTGTATGTAGTAGGATCGGAGGCTACAGAGCTATAAAAGACGGGATGCAAATTCGAGTGACCAGGCAGGAATCACAGTTTTTATTGATTACTTTCTACAGTAGACCACTGAGCCCATCCCCAGCCCTATTTTGTATTTTTCTTTTTTTTTTTTTTTTTTTTTTTAGAGACAGGGTCTCACTGAGTTGCTTAGCGCCTCGCCATTGCTGAGGCTGGCTTTGAACTAGCGATCCTCTTGCCTCAGCCTCCCCAGCCACTGGAATTACAGGCGTGCGTCACCGCGCCCGCCTAGAAATTTTCTCTGGTTTTCCAGGTCACATTTGGAACTCTGCCTTCATTAATATACGATGAATTCTATTCATGAAGCCGACTTCACCCATGAAGTTATAGAAGAYAGTCTTTTTTCAGAATTATTTTAGAGGACTGCAGGACAACTCAGAGAAAAGAATTTCTGTTCTAGCGTATAAACACTTAAAATGATGTTGGTGGCACTAGCTGTGCAAGTGCCCACCCCCCACAGCTCTCAGTTAACACATCAGAGTGTCTTGCTTGTTTGCATTCCTTCCTAAAGAAAGAAGGACAGTCCCATGAATTTAAAGCAATTGGTGCAGTGAAACAAGGACACCAAAGCACCTGACCAGAGAGGCTACCACGTGACATACAGATAATAGCAAATTATTGAAAAGGACATGCTAGGCCTGCAGTTCTTTTAAACACACTACTAAACACACTCGTGTCTTTCCCTTTGATYTTATTACCAGGCGGGGCTACCACAGATTGCCCTGTAATTGTGAATGAATAATTGGGAATGCTTCAGTATTTGGAATCTGATGGCACTGGCAATAGTAGCCCCCCCTAAAATGTGAAAGCTTTTAGAAGAAAATTCGCATCTCATTCTGGAAGGGCTTATTAAATATTTCCCATGAATTTATGTGAATGACATCATAGCACAGGGGTTGGTTGTATAGACTTCAAGGCCCAATTGCCTTGATCTTCACATATTAGCTGTGTGATSTTGARTAGGTTTCKTTACCTCATTGTGYACCAGTTTGTCGTTTATAAAATGGAGCATAGTAACAATAGTGCATACCAGGGTTGAGATACTAYTTTTAAGACTTGGATCAGTGCCCCATACATAATGATTGCTATTGAAATGTTTGCAAAGTTTTTAAAACGTGACATACAGATTAGTGTATCTACCATTACTTRGGGCACTGGAAATAAAGCAGGGGAAAAGAACAGAGTCCTTGGTCTCATAAAGTTTGCGTCCTGCTGGGAAGACACTGATAATAAACAAAATGTAATAAGGAAGGTAGTGATCACAGGTACGTAGTTAGTGATAACAGCTTTTTTGAGGGGAGGGGAGTAGTAAAACAGGGCATGGATGATATGGGAAGAGGGGTTCTAATAATGTTATAAAGGGTGTTCAGGGAAGGCCTCCCTGATAAAGGAGCTCTTTGAACAAATACTTGAAGGAAATAGGGTGAGACAGGACTGGGAATGTAGCTCAGTAGTGGATCTCTTGCCTATCTTGCTTAACATGAATGAGGCCCTGGATTCAGTAGTGGACAGGGGGTTGGGGAGAGAGAACAAGACCTAAAGAATATCCAAGAAAGAGCAAGTGAAAGAAATATCCAAGTGAAAGAACTGATAAGTCTGCCCTTGAGGTAGGAGAACACCTGTCCGGTTAGAGAATTCACAAGAAGGCAAGCATGGCTACAGCAGAACTGACCTGGGAAGGGTTGTAATCAGTGAGGACCCAGAAGAACCATGTGAAGGCCTGGTAGGCCATTATGAGGAGTCTGGCTTTCACTCAGTGGGATGGGAGTGACATGAACTTAGGATCTAATAGGGATCCTGCATAACAGTGAAAATTTTAYCTAATGTAATCAAGTTCTTATTTCCTATAGGTATAAATTCTCTGGACTTCCAGTTCCATAAATTCATGTTTTGGCAGAAAAATACTGCAATTAATAAAGAAAGCAAGCCCAAATATATGCCTTTACATCATGTACTAGTAATCAACATAAAAGTTATTTCCTAAAGTTTCCTTAAGGGTTTTTCTTTTCTGTAAGATGAATGTAACCTAAGAGACTTAAAGTATTATCCTGAAAAATGACATGATGTCTTCTATGCACTCCAAATAATGGGGGGAAGGGCATGTGAAACAAGAGTTGTCAGGAATTGATCATTATTGAAGTTGATGAGTACATGRAGGTTCAATATATTAGTCAATAACTTCTGCATTTTTGAAATGTTTTATAATAGCAAGTTAAAATACAAGTTTGATAATATTTGAGCTGAGGATAATTTTTCCTGCCCAATGTTCCTGTATTAATACAGTTGTTCTTTGTCATCATTCTTGAGTAGAAAGAACAAACCAGCACAGTTGAACACATTACATCAGACACAGCCCTCAGACCTCAGGAGCTCCAGGTGATATAGACTTCCTAGGTGAAAATTTGAACCTAGGATTTTTGAAACCTCAGTGGATAGAAAGAAAAAGGAAAAAAATCAGAAAGGTTTTAAATACATTARCTACTATCTGGTCTCTGTTTCTCAGGTGTTGGAATCAAGTCTCCTCTAGTGAAAGCTCTTCCTTTGTTCTGAGACAGTCATCAAAATGGAGTTATTTATGCAAATATAAAGCAAAAATCCATCTTTAACATGGGCTTCACATTATTAGTTTGATATCTCCTTCTGAATTTCTATTATGCTTATGATTGCCRTTACCTCATTAACTTTAGACATAAYCATCTTTTCATTAAGAAAAATAAAAGATTTAATCCTTATACCATGCCTCCATTCTGAGCAAAGGCTCCATCCTGAAGACAGGTCTGGAAGGGAGGGAGTATGTTCACATTTCTACCTTCTGAGCTTCCAATACAATAATATCATAATTATTGGCAAAGTCAGTTATCATTGCAGCTGAGCCAGGTGGTGTACTAAGATTTCATTTCCTTGATTTGCCCAATTTTCTGTTACTACAGAATCACTAAATTAACTGTTGGTGAAACTTAGCAGCAAAATTGTAAGACATGCTCCTAATTCTGTTTTCAATAAAACATCAAGAATTCTAGCAGTTGGCTTTGATGCAGCCCTTGTTACCCAGGGCTGTGTTTTTCTGCTATAAAATCCTGGTTATTTTCTGGCCTGTTTTTCCTTTCTGGAAGCTTGTCTGTCAGATCTTTATCTCGAATGTTCTGAAATTAATAATGATATGCTTTAGTGTGGGTTTTTTTTGTTTGTTTGTTTCTTTCTTTCACTATGCTGGGCACTGAGTGAGCCCTTTGAAAAACCATGTCTTTTAGTTCTGTAAATAAGTTAAAATATTATTTATTGATAAATGCTTCCTCTCCAAGGAATCTGGTGTTTCTTCCAGTGACTTTTAACCAAACCACCCGATTTCAGCCACGTCTCACCAAGATACTGGTTGCTTTCGTTGTCTGTGTGCCCTGGGCATATTTCTTTTTAACATTTAGTATTGGGCTTGTTCTGCTCGTTCCTGCATCAATATTTCAATCTTCCAAAAAAATAACATTCTCTCTTCTGTTGTCTCATATGGAAGTCACTACTAATTGTTCACCAAAGTCTGTTCTGCCCTTCTGTCATGGTAATTGAACCCCTGCATTTTACCTGAATGCCTGGTTTAGCAGAAGATGCAAGTGCCCCTCTCGTACGTATCCCCTCATTTTACCATAGTCATGCATACTGGCCCTTACCTGTGTCTGATTATCAGAGGACTGCCTTGGGTTGCCAGAGCCCATTCTGCCTGTGTGCCTGGAGAGCTGAAACCCTGTCTTGATCAGTCGGAGTGTGAAATAATGCAGCACCTCGAGATCTGCCTCTGAAATGTGAACATACTCCCTCCAGACCTAACTTCAGGATGGAGGCTTTGCTTAAGATCATTCCTTTACAGGCTTCCTGGTCTGCCTGTTTTTCTTCTYTACCCTTTCCATTTCTTCCTCGTGACACTTAAAAAAAAAAAATCATTTTCACAGGACTCCTCATTTCAGGATCTGCATCTAGGGTACCCAAGCTAAGGTTCATGGCTACTCAGACCCACTTTGTAGCTAGGAGTGGCCATGTAATTAAGTTCTGGCYAATGTAATAAACTCGGAAGTGGTGGGTGCAGTTTCCATACATGGCCTTTCTTCACTATACTTTATTTTTTAATGCTGGAATGCAGATAGAATCATGGGCACTAAGGGTCCCTGAGTTGACTGTAGCCATGGGAGTCATGTACATACAGAAAGAGCAGACTCCTTGACTCTGGTATTGTGTCATCACTTCTCAAAGATGAGAGGAAAAAAAGGAGTGTGGTAAAGTCTCTATTGTAGCTGGCTTTTCCATTACCATACCATGAGTACATCTCCTCTCCTGGTCTCTCTGTATTTTGGGGTTAATTTATTTTCTCTATGAATTTGACTACTCCGGGGACTTTGTGTAAGTGGTATTAATCCTCTACATTTAACTGTAAGACCTTGGAGGTGATGATTCAAAGAAGCTAGATCTGCTTTGGGCCTGAGAAGATAAAAGGGGGTTCAGTGTTGGAGACAGAGATGCCCCTCTGCAGAACAGAAACAGCTTTTGAAGAAAATCATTTTGACAAAGCAGGAAAGCAATGGAGATGGCATAGGATCTGCTCCTTCCTGGCATCTGGTGCTGGGCTGGACCACTTCAGAGGGGTGAATCTGACAGTTATTTTTCAAGACACTCAGTAGGATTCTGGGTACAAGCGGAGTTGCCTGGGGCTCTTGTGAATAACATGGGGCTCAGGCTGAGCAAGGGTGATTCAATTCTGCTCAGCTTGAAACTTACAACCTCTCTGATGCTCCAAGAATTAGACATAATTGGGCTTGGCAGTTTTCCATCATAGTTTCTAACACGTTATAGCTACTATGTAGAGAAGCTATTGACTTTAACAGATGAATTGATTAGTAAAATGTGGTATATGCATACAATGGAATATTACTCAGCTTTAAAAAAGAAATTTTGACATGCTACAAAATGAATCTTTTTTTTAAACATTTATTTTTATGTRGTACTGAGGATCAAACCCAGTGCCTCACATATGCTAGGCAAATGCTCTACCACTGAGCCACAACCCCAGCCCCCGCAAATGGGTAAATCTTGTGGATATTATGCTGTTTAGTGAGCTCAGTACACAAAGACAAATACTGCATGACTTTTTTATGAGGCTCTTATAGTAGTTAAATCATAAAGACAAATAGAATGGCAGTTGTCAGGGGCTGGGGAAGGGGCAGAGGACATTATGGGGAACCTAGGGGGTTAAGCTCCATAGTTACAGTGTCACAGTACAGTTTCAGTTTTACAAGATGAAGATACAGTTCTGGCAGTGGGATGGGTAGTGATGGGTGCACCAATTATGACTGTACTTATTACCACTAAAATGTACCCTCAAAATAGTTAAGATGGTACATTTTGTTATCTGTATTTTACCACAATAAAAAGGAATGAAAAAATGACTGGTGTCCTYCTTTGACTGAAACATTGTTATGTGGCTCACAACTGTTACTATATTTGGATTCCAGTGTGGAGTTGTGTAAAATTAAGAAAAACAGCACACAGAAATTGTTGCTTGGGGCTACGGATGTGGCCAGTGGCACAGCASTGGCCTAGCATGCATGAGGCCCTGGGTTCAATCCCCAGCATAAAAATAAAAATCACCAATGCCCTTTGTCAAGCCTAAAGAACAATTACACAAGCATTTAAAAATCATCTCAAATAAAAATGTGGACTTCTTAACTTCTTTTTTGGAAAAGATTGGAGGCGAAGGTAATAATGGAACCTGTGGCAGGAATATCAGTGGGCTCCCTGGTCTGCTGCATCTGTCACTGAARTGGGGCAAGAACACAGAGCTATGGAGCTTTCCAATGCTCAGTTCTGATTCAGGGCTGAGTGYGGCCTGAAACTGCATTTCAGAAAAGCTCTCAGGTGAAACAGATGCTACTGGCCCTCCAACCATACTTTGAATAGCAAGACTATGAACTTAAAATAAACACAGAGAAAGAAATAAAAAAGCAAACATTCTCTTTATTTAATAGTCTTTGATATTTAAAATACAACTCATCGAATATCCACATCAACAATAGAATCCTTATCATTCAACAGTGCTTTGGAAGCCCGGCTTGGAAGGACCAGAGGAAGGCCTGTGTGTGGAGTAACGGCAAACAACTCTACAAGAGAGGGGCACACACAGAGGGGCTGCAGAGCTGGGTCCTGAGCAAACAGCACTGCCATAGTGCACTTGTATCATGGCCAAAAGACAATGCCTTTTGTTTCACATGTTTTTTTATACTTGAATTCCAAATATTTATACAGAACAGTAATTTTAAAAAACTTATTTATATTAGTCCAGTGTTGTAGAAATTAGGTAACCATGTTTAAATGTTATGATTTCTTCTTTCAAAAAAAAAACACATTAAAAATATCCCAGGAAACATTCAACTTTAAACTATGCAAGAGACAACTGAAAGATGCCTAAACAAATCAGGAGTTTTCACACACATCTCACAAATACTTCCTGCTTCCCACTTTGTCTATGAATCCAGTATTAAAATGTATCAATACACTTATTAAACATACCGATTACCATAAATTTAGAAGTTACATTACTAGCATTAATAATCAAAATGCCAGACCATTTTGGAAAAAATAAAAACAGCAGAAATATTCTTAAAAGAATCAAAATTCAGGAACAAACTAACCATGCCAATCATCTTTTTATTCATGAAAGAATAGAACAAAAGTTTTTATTATTAATAAGACTTTAAAAAAACAATACAAAAGTCAGTTCATTTCTTTAACAAAAGATGGTTATAAAGGAACTAGGAATGAAGAAAAGGTTTTATTTTGAATAGGAAAAAGTGAAAAATTATTTACACTGCTTAAATGATATTTTTTTTTTCCCTAATTAGGGTCACATATATCCCATTCTCTATACTTGCTAGAACTCAGACAACAAAGAATTCACTTAGAAAATACTGGCCTGAAGCCTTTCCAATTAAAGATAAAATGGGGTTTTTTGGGGGGTGGGGAGGGAGAGGAAAAGGAGTGACATCAGGGCTTGGAGTGTTCCAGGCAAGGGCTTTACCACTGAGCTTTACTGACCTCCACAGATAGCATTTTTAATAGGCGGTCTCAATATTAATTATTAAATCCTCCTAGTAACTTTTTTTTTTTTTTAAAGATGGTGGGATTTAACCCAGGGCCTCATACATCTTGGGCAATCACTCTACCATCGAGCCACATCCCTAGCTGGGAATCCTCCTAATAACTTAAAATAGCAAAATTTTTCCAACTTAAGATTTTTAAATTACCACATTTTGATTATGCACTGAATTGATATTTGAATTTGCACAGGTCCAATRATCAGTTTTAAGAATTTAGTAACTCTTGGCACTAGTGTGATTTAAAAATACTATCAAACATGTAGAACTGAAAATGTGATTTAGGCTCTGACTGGAATAAACTTTATTTTATTCAACTTGCTATTAGATGTATCATAACTACTAGTAGTTTTTGCTTATAATAAAAGTCAACTAGTTCTCAGCTTTCTTCATTAACTTTGGCATCATGAATAAAACTTCAATTAAGAAAATCAAGTTAAAAAAAAAAAGCACCTCTTAAATCTTCTGTGAATTGTAATTATTTGGCCAAAATCTTAGAATTTAGAGTTCACCTGCAGCAACCGTTTCAGACAATTTATATTCCTGAATATTTGTATGTTATTTACTATAAAAAGAATATCGATGGTTTTGGATCAGAGGTTAGCTACTCTGAATACTTAAAACAAATAATCCCTTAGTAAATCCACAATACCTAAAAATATGAGTGTTATTTCCCAAAGTTTGCTTAAATTTTACTTAAAATATTAGCATCACCACTATACATATTTAATCTTGGTAATACAAATTATACATTAGAAAAATGATACCAATAGTTTAAATATTAAACATTAAGGTGTTCCCAATTGATAAAACAGAATGGAAATCTTTATAACTCTCTTAGCAGGACAGTTACTATGAATTTGCTTGCTCCTGACTTTTTTGCAGGTGGTTTACTGGAAGTGGCAGTTCCATAACAATTTTTTTTTTGATGCTACTGTTATAAGCACTGGCATATTTTCACAGTGGCTCATCAATTAAGATAAATCTAATCATTCAGATAAATTTAGGTCAATCCAAATAAGATGGCAATTGACTGGTGATTCTGGCTCTGCCTGCCAAATATRACAATTTCACAAGAAACTAAACAAACACATCCAGTGTGTGCTCTGCTGTTTTAAAATGTCCMTAATAAACAAATAAAGGTTGACATGCCATACTTTTGTAAGTGCTTTAAGGCATGTAATGCATAAACTTAATAAACTCTATGAAGTTAAAACTTTGTTGGTTTTTTACTTTTAAGTWTATCAATTCACTCTGAAAAGTTTAATGCAACTTTTCAAAGAGAAAAAGTAAAGGCCAAATATCCGTGGAAAATATGGCTAGAACACTGGGGGATAATTACATAAATGTTTGGTCTTAAAATGTTTAGCTTTGTGCATTTTGAGGGAGTCTTTGAGCTCTAACATCCCTTGMATTTCTGAAGTTTTATAATTCTGTAACATTTTCAATAGTTAAAACTTCAGATTTTAAAATAAAACTGTCTAATATTGTGTAAAGGAAACTTCAGAAAATGACTTAAAAAAATCTGTCCTAAGAAAAAGCTATTTCATAATCATAAATAAAGATATTTTTCATCTCTTTTCRGTTAGCAATAATCCTAGCTCAAAAAGCTTTCCCTGATAAAATRTGTGCAGCCACAAACCAGTGGTACAACATGCCATACTTTACTTTTCTAAGTTATCAGCTGAAATTTCTTCTTGAAGTTCAGCTTATGAATAATTCAACATTCAAAAGGGCTTCAAAAAGGGGTGGGGAGCAGATGACAGACACCCATTAAGAGAGACATGGTAAAGTTTTCTTTYTGTTTTGGGGCACTGGGGATTGACCCCAGGGGCACTCTACCACTGAACCAAATCCTCAGCCTTTTTATTTTTTTATTCTGAGGCAGGACCTTGCTAAATTACCAAGACTGGTCTCAACTTGTGATTCTCCTGCCTCAGTCTCCCAAGTTGCTAGAATAACAYGCTTGTGCCACTGCACCAGGTGAGACGTGGTTAATTTTCACCAAAATCACACCACTATATTGATCCAGCAAGAAACTCTCTGTGCATCCCAATGTTTATCAAAACTAAGAACTTTCTTATTTACAGACTCATTAAGTACTGTGACTTCAGTAACTCTAAAGCTATTTAAACATGATGCAATGTCAAATCACAGTATAAATTTAAATATATTTTCATTAGTAAACTATTTCATGTTCCATATTACCATCTCTGGCAAGCTTACCTACCTAAAAAATGTGAAGCAGACATCTACATTCCATGATTCAATTGTAAATACAACATAGAGCTCCATCACAAAAGAAAAATTAAAATAAACTATTACTAAAATTGAAGGCCAGATTTTTCTCTATCATACATTCATAGTGGGTACATATGTTAAGCCTTGTAACACAGGGAAATGTGCCTGCACACTATGCTTTCGACATTTCCCAACTGGAGAAAAAGGAAATAAGGYGCAGGAGAAAGGGATTACAACAAAGCTGTAAAAGTTCTGCCACAATTGAAAAGACATTCATAAAGCATCTGAGAAAGCATGTGCTCACACATTTTTTTTTAATGCTCATTTATTCTCAAATACTGTGTAGAGCCGATTTCAGAATTTAGGAATGCACCGAAGTCATAAAATAATGATCCCATCGTAGAGAGCTTAAAAAACAAAACCTCAGAAAAGATAACCATCTTTCAAAAGAGTTGTAGAAAAATAATAAAATCTAGCTAGCAGAAAAATTGTGAACCAAGAAAATAACCGGAGAAAACATCCACTGCACAATACAATTGGTGTGAGAGAAAGGTTTATCCTTCCAGAACTAATACCGTCATTGAGGCAGACAGACATTTTCCTGAAAGGTTAATTTGGTTCATGAGAAATAAAAGCAGTTATCAGATGATGAAAGACAGCCAAATTACTTACAACCCAACAGAGAAAAGGAGAACAAAATCACATGGAACAAGTTCAGTGGCAAGAGCAAGTTAGTTTGGTCTATAAAAAGTCAAGAAAAATATACTAATTTTAGACATGTTAGATATTGCACACACAAAGAGAAAAAGAAACATTTAGAAAACCATTTTAAATTTTTTAATTGCTGACTAGCTTTTGGGCTAGTCTTTGGAGGATCATTATTTAGTACTTCAACTGATGCATTTTTTTCACTTTCTCCTCATTGTGTTTGCAAACCACCCTAAAGGTCTTATTTCCTCTGATGAACATTGCTCTTTGACACATTACCAAGATGGACCCTATACTGTAACCACACAGGACAAGGTTGGAAAGTGTGAATATCTAGATGATTTTTTTAAAGGTATTATTTTTTTCCTTCTGTTTTCATATTATTTTTAACAGTTTCTAASGACATGGTCACAGCTGCCTGAAGCATGTCTTCTTCACTCATGGAATCACCTGTGGGAAAATAAAACACATACATTTCTTAACAATTTCTAGAAAATTCTTGGTCATCAAAAGATGAACTCTTAGGGAATGTACTTCTGTTTAAACCCTAGTTTCTCTTTTTTTTTTTTTTTTTTTTTGTCTTTTTAATTCATATAAAGTAAAATTCACACTTACTTAGTTTTACAATTTTTTTTTCTTGGTAGCACTGGGGATTTTTTTTTTTTAAAGAATTGAATTCTTTATTTGTGATATCCATAAACATTGCTATTCTAGATTTCTATTCAGGAAGGCAGTTTTCTCCTATTTTTTTTTTTTATAAACAACAACTTGAATTCTATCACATGAAAGGGCTACAAATATACATTTGTTAACCAAGCAGAACACAGATATTTTGACTTACTTGCACCTAAGATACAGCTGGTTCATTAGTTGCAGCACTGGGGATTTAACCCACAAGTGCTATACCTCTAGCCCTCGCCTTTTAAAATAATTTTTATTTTGAACACAGTCTTGCTAAATTGCTGAGGCAGACCTCAAACTTGCAATCCTCTTGTCTCAGCCTCCCAAGTTGCTGGGATTACAGGTGTGCACCACCAGTCCTGCAGTTTTAAATCTCTGATAGATGCATGGAGCTGTTTAATTAACACTACCAATCAAGAAACACACCTGTTTCACTGCCTCCAAAAATTCCTTAGTGATCCCTCTTTGTGGTCAATCCCCAATCCCTAATCCCTAATCCCAGGCAACCACTGATATGTTCTTTGTTGTTTAACCTTGTCACTTCCTCCAAGTCATATRAATAGAAGTATACAGTAAATATTTGGCCTTTTGAATATGGCTATATTTACTGAGCATAATGCATTTAAGATTTATTCTGTGTWTCAACAATTCATACTTTCTGGAAAAATTTGATTTTGAAATAATTGTCAATTCACAGAAAGTTGCAAAATTACATAGTTATGCACGCTTCAGCCCAACTTCACCCAAGTTACATTTTATAGAACTAAAGCTCAGCCAGACATGGTGGTGCATGCCTGTAATCCTAGGGGATCGGGAGGCTAAGACAGGAGGATCATAACTTCAAGGTCAGCCTCAACAACTTAGTGAGAACCTGTTTCAAAATTAAAAAAAAAAAATATATATAACAGGCTGGGATGTGGCTCACATCCCCTTGGTTCAATTCCAGTACCAAAAAAAAAAAAAAAAAAGCMCAATCCAGATATTGACATTAGTGCACTGTGTGTAGTTCTACATGACATTACATTCCATATATGAATGCATGTAACCATCACCACCATAATCAGGAAAACAGACTTGGGGGGCCCAGGGTAGCCCATGGAAGAGCACACTTGCCTAGCATGSMTAAGGCCCTGAGTTTGATCCCCAGTAYTGCAAAAYGAAATGACCAAAAGACATGGAACCACTCCAGTACCACAAAGAACTCCTTCCTGCCAATGCTTTATAGTCATCCTTATCCCTTTTCTACYCTCTCCCTAATTGTTGGCAACCTCTAATTCATTCTCTATATCCATATATTTGTGCTTTTTGGAATGTTGTGCAAATGGAATCATACAGTTGGAGACCTTTGTAGATTTGTTTTCCCCACACTCAGCACAATGCTCCTGAGAGATCCCTTTAAGTCGCTGCAGTTGGTTTCTTTTTGACTTTGGGATTATATTCCATGGTAYAGATACACTATGCTTAGCCATTCACCCATGTAGGACATGTTGGTTATTTCCAGTTTTTATTATGTCAAAGTTGCAATGAACATTTGTGTGCAGGTTTTTGTTTGGACAAAAATTTCCATTTCTGAATTAATGCCCAGGAATGTAAATGCTGGGTCATATGGTCAGTGTATATTCAGTGTTTTAAAAAATGGTCAAATTATATTCCAAAGTTGGATGGGCCAGTTAAAAGTAAATGTAGAAAGCTCCCTTCTCTTTCTATCCCTTGACCCTCCCTCATTTGTAACATATAATTGCCTTCAAATATTTTCTTTTTTTAAAATATTTTTTTAGTTATACATGGACACAATATCTTAATTTTGTTTATTTATTTTTTTTTGTGGTGTTGAGGATCGAACCCAGGGTCTTTCACGTGCAAGGCGAGCGTTCTCGCTCTAYCACTGAGCCACAATCCCAGCCCCCAAATATTTTCTTTATATCACTGAAAAYCAAATCAATTATTATAATTCTTATATCAATCATTAAGCATAATTTAGAAAATATAAGAGGAGGAGAAAGTCTATTGTGTCTGCCATTCTCTATTTTTCCTTCCTGATATTTCTTTATTACTTATTTTCTGAACTTGACGGTTTACTGGAGGCAAAAATATCTTCACTTCCCCTTTATTCCTGAAGGATATTTCACTGGCTATAGAATTTGTGTATAGTTTTTCTTTCAGTACTTGGAAGAATGTTGTCTACTTCTTTCTGGCCTCCATGATTTCTCATGACACGTCGTTTTGGGGGGTTTATCTTATGTAATTCAGGTTCTTCAATTTCTAGTGTTCTGTCTTTGTCAAATTTKGGAAATTTTCAACCATCATTTCTACAGAAACTTTTTCATCTTCACCCTCTTTCTCTCCCATGATACTAATGTTAGGTCTTTTGTTAGTGTGCCACAGATCTCTAATGCTCTGTCCATTTTTTCCAGTCTGTTTTCTCTGTGTTGCTCAGAATAGGTAATCTCTTCTCTTCTTTTCTGCTACTGGGAATTGAACCTAGGAGCACTTAAACACTGAGCCACATACCCAGCCCTTTTCTTAAAATTTTGAGACAGCTTAGGGCCTTGCTAACTTGCTGAGGCTGGCTTTGAACTTCTGATCATCCCGCTTCAGCCTCCCAAATCACTRGCATTACAGGTATGCACCACCASGCCCGTCTGAAGAGGTAATTTCTATTGTTCTGTCTGGTTAGCAGTCACTTTTGGCTATAGATAGCAGCTTCTGGGGGGCTTTTCTCTTGGTCTGTGCCTGTGGCTTCTCTGCACCAAGTTCAGCATATCTGAGGCAAAACAGAAAATCCAGACCATTCATGACCATGTTACTCTCTGATCCTGAGGTCCCTAACCAACTGTCTCTTCTCTGCTTTTGAAGTTCTTGTTTGTTTTACACAAGTATCCAGGTTCTTCACTTCACACAGCAGGAGGAATGAGAAAAAGCACAAGTTCATTCCTTTTAGTCTTCAGTTGTTTGGATACRTCTGTGTGAGCACCCATTCTCCACATGAAGGCCACCTGTAGGCAGCTTCCAATTTAGGGCCACAATGAATCCAGCTGCTATATACAACCATTTGTAAGTTTTTGTGTAAGTTTTCTCTCTTTTGATTACATAGCTAGGTGTTAAGACTCCTGGGTCACATGGTTAAGTATACCATTTAAGTATATAAAAAATGCCACACTGTTTTCCAAAGCATGGAAAACATTTTACATTCCCACTAATAGTCCCAGTTGCTCTGAGCCTTGCCAGTATTTAATATCATTTGCTTTATTTGTTCATAAAGTCATTCTTTCCATACTTTTTTTTAAAATTTTTTTTTAGTTGTAGATGGACACAAACCTTTATTTTATTTATTTTTATATGGTGCTAAGGATCAAACCCAGTGCCTCACACATGCTAGGCAAGCATTCTACCGCTGAGCCACAACCCCAGGCACAAACCATTCTTACAGTTAYGTCACAGTATCTCATTGTGGGTTTTTTTTGTTCTGTTTTGTTTTGTTTTTGGTACTGGGGATTGAACTCAGGCGTACACGGCCACTGAGCCACATCCCCAGCCTTATTTTGTATTTTATTTAGAGACAGGGTTTCACTGAGTTGCTTAGTGCCTCACTTTTGCTGAGGCTGGCTTTGAACTCGTGATCCTCCTGCCTCWGCCTGCCAAGCCACTGAGATTATACGCATGCACCACCACACAGCTGGCTGTGATTTTTTTTTAATACTTTTTAGTTGTACATGGACACAATACCTTTATTTTATTTACTTATTTTTATGTGGTGCTGAGGATCAAAGCCAGTGCCCGAYATGTGCTAGGTGAGTCCTCTACCACCGAGTCACAACCCCATCCCCATCACTGTTTTTTTTTTTTAATATATTTTAATTGTAGATGGACACAATACCTTCATTTCATTTGTTTATTTTTATGTGGCGCCAGGGATCGAACCCAGTGCCTCATGCATGCTAGGTAAGCACTCTACCACTGAGCCACAACCCTGGCCCGTCACTGTGGTTTTAYTGTGCCTTTCTCTAGTGAATAGTGATACTGACCATTTCTGCTTATCACTGTTATTTGGTGAAATGTGTTTTCAAATTCTTCATCTATTTATTTGAGTTATTTTCTTACTGTATAGTTTTGAGAGTTCTCTGCAGGTTCACCTTACAAATCCTTTGTCAGATACAGCTTCCTTTTCATTCAACTTCTACTACCAACATTTGACCAATGTTTAAGAACTATTAAGCCTGCTGATCTTTGGATTACACTCAAATGTTTTTTAGTTTTCTAGGTAATAAACTATATTTATTTTCCATCTATTAATATTCACTATCTCTGAGGAGTTTTTGGAGAATATTCTAATTACTGTGAAGTTGCATGTACTATGTTTATAATTTTAAAACCAAATATTCTTTGAGTACTCYAGTCTGCCTACTCTATAGACCAGGGAAATTTAGAGTACAAATTCAATTAACAGTTTTAACAGGACTAAAGAGGAAAGAGAACATATGAAGCAAAAATCACATGGAGGGCTGGGGTTGTGGCTCAGTGGTAGAGGACTTGCCTAGCACGTGTGAGGCACTGAGTTTGAACCTCAGGACCACATAAAAATAAATGAAGTTATTAACAAAATCACATGGAGTTTGTGTATCAAATAGAGCATGCAAGAAACAAATGTGATGACTACTAATCAGAGATCCAAACCTCGATCACTCCCACGTGCTCCTGAACTTGTGGTTGGCCTTTCACATGGATGTGAGACCTGTCCTGGTGGATCTACTTGCTGCTGCTGCTGCTGCTGCTGCTGCTGCTGCTTCTGCTGTTGTTGCTGCTGTTGCCTGAAACATTTGAAAGTGAATGTGTATTAAATAATGATCTAAAACCAAATAAACAGGAGAAAATCCTTCACATGAAAAACTGTTCCATAAATCAAAAAATAATCACTGTCATGAACATCACAAAATGCAGCAAGAATAACTGGTCTGATAATTAARTATTCATACTAGGAAACCTAGATATAAAATTTGAATTTATCAGACCAATTAAGAAATAGGTACTTCCACCACAAAATAACTTATCATACAAGATTCACTGGTAGTTATTCTTATGCAAATGAGTATTGGTTTACAGATCCTTAGTATTGTTTGAAGTCACTGAAAAGRGACTCTGAGAAATCACCTCGAAATAGCATGTAAATTAACATATCTTTTCCCTTCTTATCCTTCAGGTCTTTCTGAGTTTAAACATCTCCAAAGATGCCTTTAAACACCCACCTGAAGTAGCCATGTGCTAGGTGAGTCCTCTACCATTACTTCATTTTGTTTATTTTCATTACTTCATTTTAATCCTCAGTATAAACTTACTACCATCTGATATTCTTCTCTTTAGTTTCTTTCTTGGGGAATAAACTAGCAAGAATACAAACCTAGTCCTGTTTATCTATTTCTCTAGTGCCTAACACTGTGTCTGTCACATAGTAAACATTTATCAGGTACTTGATGAATTAAAAACATGAAAACAACTATAAAACATATAATATCAAGCTTTCAGTAGTAAGACTGTATTGCAATAAGTTCTTCTGTATTTTTAAAGTAAAAACAATGTCATAAAATCCATATTTTTTAACATGRAAACATGCCAGTTATAGGACTGATACTGGATGGAGTGGCACACACCTCAGTCCCAGCTATTTGGGAAGCTGAGGCAGGAAGGAGGATGCCTTGAGGCCAGCAGTTTGAGACCAGCCTGGGCAACTCTGTGAGATCCTATCTCCAACAAACAGGCAATAGGTAGTAGGAGTGTTTCCTTGTATTTAGAAAATACACACTGAAGCACTGAGACACAATGAGAAATAATGCAAGTTTTTCCCAAATGGTTCAGAAAGGTCAACAGCTGGAAAATCTGGGTGCAGGGAACTGAAGGGATAAGGAGCCCTGTGTACTATTCCTGCTTTTATGTATGTCTGAAATTATTTCATATGTAAAAACACATACACAGAATACTAAAAAAACTTATATTTTATAAATAGCTGAGAATCTGAAGTCATATTTAAAAAGGAAACAGAATTTWAAAACTATCAGCAACACTATTAATAGAATGGCATATTTTTTTCCCCTGGTGTGCCTCTCAATCTTGAATTTTAAATGTGAGCAACAAAGGAAATTCCACCAGTGGTAACTCGATTTCTTCCTGATAGCCTGAGATAGAATGCTAATACAGCACAGGTGTATGACCTGCCGATGTTCAYAGCTAATGGTGCATGCCTGGGCAGCATGCTCCACTAGCATGTCCTGGTTCTGAGCCACGACACGAGACAGACAGACTTCTTGGGAATTTCTGGCACATCAGATAACTTCCACGCCTTCTCTCTTCTACTCAWGAATGAATGTCGGAATGCAAGAGAGTGATAGGACAGACAGCAACTTCAGAGGGATAACCTTTATCCTACTTCTTATTTTTAAATTAATGACATTAATAATTGCACATATTTATGGAGTTATTCTACTTTTAATTGATAAAAAATGAGAAGAAAAACAACTGCCAACTTTGAAACAATCTTGACACCTTTCAGCCTCGAAGACACGGAGATGGAACATGTTCAAACAGCACTCAGCATCCATTCCCACTGTGCATTCTAATGTGCCTTTAGCATTACAGAGGCCACCAAGCTAAAACCCGCAAGACCAACACTCCTTTACAGATAGGATCCTGGTTACAAATTAAGCCTTCGTATGAGATTATAAAGGCAGAAATGAGGTAGAGCCATCTTCCTGCTACCTTGGCTGCTCTCTGCTGGTAAGCAAAGTTATGGAGATATAGTCCCTGAATCCTGTTACATGGCTGTCACTGTGGAGGCCAGAGTTCATGCTCCCAGGTCCAGGTAGGTGCAGCAGTGGCTTCCTGACCCTGGRATCACAGCTGTAACACTGTGTTCTTAAACTCAATATCCTGAATTGGGCCAGGCACGGTGGCGCACGCCTGTAATCCCAGTAGCTCAGGAGGCCAAGCAGGAGGAGCATGGGTTCAAAGCCAGCCTCAGCAACTTAGCGAGGTACTAAGCAACTCAGTGAGACCCTGTCTCTAATAAAATACAAAATAGGGCTAGGGATGTAGCTCAGTGGTCAAGTGCCCCCGAGTTCAAACCCTGGTATCCTCCTCTGACAAAAATCCTGATTTGCCATCGTCCCAACAGGGACAAATATTGCCAGAGGTGGACTGTGGTATTCTGGAGGCCTAGAATACCACACCTCCCACTTTTCCTAAGACTTTACGCCACTAATTTCTGTATTGAATACTACTCTATTTAAACATCCCTAATAGTTTCTGCTTCTTAAATTGAACCCTGTCAAATTATGCCATGCCACTGAAGTGATGGCTCAGAAAAGCCGCAGACTATCTGAAAGAGCTGCTCAGATTCACAAATCTCATCTTCAGCCTATATGCCTTCACTCCAGCCTCCACCATGTCCATCAGGGTGACCCAGAAGTCCTACTCAGTGTCCACCTGTGGCTCCAGGGCCTCCAGTAGCCACTTACACATACATGAGTGTACCTGGTATGCATATCAACTCTTCCAGCTTCTCCTGGGTGGGCAGCAGGAGCACCTTCTGGGGCAGACTGTGTGCTGGCAGAGGTCTAGCTAGTGGCCATGGCAAGGTTGGTGATATGAGGGGGCATCACAAACATCACAGTGGACCACAGAGTGCTGAGGCCCCTCGAACTGGAGATGGATCCCAACATCCAGGCCATGCATATTCAGGAAGAGAAATAGATCAAAACTCCCAACAAATTTGCTGCCTTCATTGATAATGTATGGTTCCTGGAGCAGACAATGCTGGAGACCATGTGAAGCCTCCTGCAGCAGCAGAAGATAGCTCAGAGTGACATGGACAACATGTTTAAGAACCACGCTGACAATCTTCTTCAATAGCAGCTGGAGTCAATGGGCCTGGAGAAATTGAAGCTGGAGACAGAGCTCGGCGGTATGCAGAGAAGGTGGAGGACTTCAAGAATAAGTATGAGAATAAGATCAATAAGCATGCAGAGATGGAGAACCGGTGTCCTCATCAGGAAGGATGGGGATGAGGATTCTAAGAACAAGATACAGCTGGAGTCTCATCTGGAAGGGCTGACTGATGAGATCAACTTCCTCAGGCAGCCATATGAAAAGAAGATCGGAAAATGCATCTCTGTGGTGCTGTCCGTGAAGCCCAGCACTCCCTGGACATGGACAGCACCATYGCAAGGTCCTCACTCAGAACAAGGCCACAATGAAACAGCTTGCTGATCTCTGAGATGAACTTCAACATCAGCCACCTCTGGGCAAAAAGTGAGGCCTTCAAAKGTCAGAGGATATACCTGGAGGCTGCCCCTGCTGGTGCTGGACAACAAGGTAGGGAGATGGACAGTAAGGGTGCCAAGGCCAAGCCAGCTAGCTGGGGCTACCCTATGGCARGCCAAGCAAGACATGACATGACAACTGTGTGAGTACAGGAGCTTATGAATATGATACTGGTCCTAGATGCAGAATGTGAGTCTCCTTATGATGGGGCTGAGTGCCTTCCAGTCCAGYTCCATCTCTGGTAGGGGGTCCAGGTCCTTCAGCTACACCAAAGCCATGGTTGGGGAAAAGACTGAGACCTACAATGAGAAGCTAGTGACAAAGTCCTCTGCCTTCTCAAGTCTCTTCCCAGCCTCCCCAAGTCCCTTCCCAGCCTTCCCTCTCCTGTAGCTGTGGTGGAGTCTACAAGGGAGACACCTATACAGAGGAATACAGGGAACAAGAGACCACCCACCTAAGGCTCAGTCCTGGTTCTCAGCTCCACCCCAGGGGAGGTCTACTGCACCCCCTCTTGTCCATGCCCTCAATCCAAAACCAATTCATTTGTTTTTTCCAAAACAAAATCTCAGCTGGCTCTGTCAACTGAGGGGAAGAAAAAAGGTCACTGCAAACTATGGCCATGGAAATAATATTTGTGTCCTTCCTTGTAGGGAAACTGCCTTTAGGCAACAGAAAAAAATCTGCATTGTTGCAAACTATACCTGGAGAACACATTAGTAATAAAATACMGTTTACAAAACAGTTTATACCCACTGCTTAATCTGATCCTCATAACACACAAGTTAAAGCAGATTTTATAGTGACATGGCTGATATAGTAGAATTTTGCTTGGGTTTTTTTCGACAAGTAATTTAGAAATTACTGCTGGAAAAAATGTCCTGGCTATGAAAATATTATTTAGCAAATCTTAAACTACAAATKTGTAGTAGGTAGATTTTTAACGGTATTTTTTACATAAGAAAGAAATCTTATAGTATGCTTTATGCACAAGTACTGTGGTTACTATACTAATTATGAAGCTTCAAATATATAACCGGAAGTGGGGAACCCTATAAAACTTTATGAATAACAAGTTAGCACCAGTATCAGTTTAGGGAGATTGAAAGAGAACAGTTAGCTTGATGAGCTTTGAGCAAGTGCCCTGAGCTAGAGAGATAAGAACCCATCCAGGATAAGTAATCAGGAATTTTAGTGAAAGGCAAATATTAGTTTCTCAGTTCTTGAAGTTATTTTATAAAGTTCTGAATGCTAACCAATGTTAAAAACAAACATCAAAAAGTTCAACTCTTAAACTCAGCAACATGTGACTATGTGAAAATATTCTCTAACATTTAAAGTTCTCACTAGTATTTTCAAATTAAACCAGGAGGCAGAGGACAAAGGCTAAAGCTGACAACCATCTTTAATCCTCAATGTACTATCCTCCAATTAGAAGGAGGCACACCAATACCTGAAGGTTTTAAAAAGGGTGCAAGGTTGACCAAAATGTCCGTTTTACTAAAAAAAAAAACAAACAAAAAACAAACAACAACAACAAAAAACAACCTAGTTATTACTTTTGAATTTTGCTTGTTATAACTAGCCATTACTAAGTTATCTTCACTACTATTAAAAGAAAAAATTGATGGATAGTTTCACATTTTTAATCCAAAAAAAGTCTAAAAAAAAAGTAAATGTAAATAAAAGATGGGTTTATTTTTATACTTGAAATGTTTTCGTTTTCTTAGGTGTACTGTGAATTTTGTAGCTTTTCTATAAGGTATGTCTACAAAGAACTGGGTGAGGTGTTGCTTGCCTGTAATCCCAGCAGCTTGGGAGGCTGAGGCAAGAGGAAAATGAGTTCAAAGCCACCTCAGCAACTTAGCGAGGCCCTGAGCAACTCYATAAGCCCCTGTGACTAAATAGAAAATAAACAGGTCTTGGGCGCTGGGGTCATATCTCAGTGGTAGAGCACTTGCCTAGCTTGTGTTGAGGCACTGGGTTCAATTCTAAGTACCACATATAAAGTTAAGGTTCATCAACAACTAAAAAAAATAAAAAAATTAAAAAAATAAATAAATATATATATATATATATATACACACACACACATACATACGAACTTTCATTTAAAAAATTATTATTATTATTATTTTAATTAGAAGGTCTGGAGAAGTAGCTCAGTGGTTAAGTGCCCTGGATTCAATCCCTGGTACCAAAAAAAAAGTATAGCTATTTGGATCATTCTGATTCTGGACAAAAGAAAAAAGGTCTGAAATAAACATGGTAGAAKTATCATTTGAGAACTATTCTGAAAAACACTTTATTTAGAAATCTGTACTGAGGACTTAACCTTAAAAATGATCTCATACACTAATCCAGTATCTGACATCCTCAGAATAATTAGAGGAAAGGATGAGAAAGAAGCAGAGTCAGTACAAGGATTGTTCACTACACCCAAAGTCCTAACAGCAAAAACCAAAAGTTTTATAARTAAATTATGATATACTCATTCACTTTATGAAACATCATGCACTCTAGTATATAAAGAATATTACTGTCATGGGAAAATGTTTTAATATATAGTATGTATGTCTTTATGTGACCAGAAAACAATGTGCCCAAATACTGATATTGGTTATTGAAAGACGGTGGGAATATACTTTCTTTTAATTTTGGAATTTCTTAAAATAAATTTTCTAGAATATTAGTTTCATCCACTTAAGTAATTTTAGGTTATTTTTAACACTAGATATTTGATGATAYAGAATTATTAATTATGTGATGATTATTTTGTGGCAACAGAATTTAGCTACATATTTTTTAGAGACATTTTAAATTTATGAACTAGATAATATAAATTAAATAATATGATGACAAAATACTCCAAGCCTGGGGACAGAARAATAGGAAAGAACTGAGAGCTGGGAGCATAAAATAATGAGGTTGGTCATGTGCTAATATTTGTTAAATCTGAATAAATGGGTTCATTATGCTAGTTTCACCATATATGTATAAATCTGAAGTTTATGAAAATTAAAAATTAATTTTATAATTAAAATGTGAAAAGCACTATATCACTGAATAAAGACTAGAAATATCTCACATTAACAGGATGTCAGCTGATCAGAACTTTCCTTCATATACTTCTGAGTTGTGACTTAAAAAAACAGAAAACAGAAAAAGTAAATATTATCTTCATTATACCATCAGATGCAAAATGCTCCATTATTTTAGTTATCACTAAATACTGCCAATTATAATTTTAAGATGCTTCTCATTTCAGAGATGTAGAAAAGTAGGTATATGTGCACTTTYGAATTGATGAAACACAGTAACTAATAGACCAGATTCAGTCACTGGTCTTTGGATTGGACCCGGATCAGAGGATCTGAATATCTATTAGAGATCTTGTAGTCCTTAAGATAGATTTTATTCCTCCTTTAAAAAAGGAAAAAGAGAAGAATTGAAAATGATAATTATTGAGAAGGAAGATATTTTTATAGGGTGAAATTTTCTTTTGCGAGCACTTTATAAAGCTATGCACAAAATAAGGTTTTAGGCATTGAAGATTGAGATTTGCTGTTTGCTTCTATGTCTCTGAGGCTGACAGGCCTGCAGGCCCCATCTAAAGTGGCAGTGAGCAGGACCAGGAATCACCACCTCTATCTGGAAGTGCGCTCCCTGCCTCCAGTACTGTTTTTCTTATTAACTAGTGAAGAATTCTGCACACACAGGATTGTTCTTCCCTTGCCTAATTCTATTTTCCTTTGATTAATAAAGTTTTACAATGTTTCTTTCACTTTATTTCATTTAAAATTTATCCTGTATTGTGGCAAAGTTTTTCCCTAAAACTACATTCATTTTGTATTTTATTTGCTGTAAAAATTTTTAAGTACATTTAAATATACACAAACTTCAGGCGGTAACCAGACATTTACAGACAGACAAAATAGCCAAAGCAAATATTAAATATGCAACTTTAATTTGTACCAACTACTTTACTTTTCAAAGTAGGCTTCTCTTCTTTTCCGCAGCTCTTCTGAAGTAAGATTTGTACCTGATGTCTGGGGAATATCTTGAGATATATTTCTGGAACTACCTAAAAACAAAATAAAAGAGCAAAAAGCAATTGTTTTATTCAACAATTCAAGAGATGATGTTTATTCTTATCTGAACAAGCTTTTAAGATTTTGAAAGTATCAGAAGGGCTATGAAAGTCTCATGGACTAAGGCACACCAAATCTAATTTAYGTCTATCACATTCAAAGCTGACACCCACATGCAATGCAACAGTTCTGAGAATAAAGTCCAAAAAGCAACCTGGTATGAGAAGTCACTAACATCACACGTGTATGCTCTCTTTAATTTATTAAAAATGAACCCACACCTTCAAGACAYGGTGTTCCTCAAACCCATGTCTTGAAGGTGTAGATCACTAGGCAAATGATCCTAAGACAAATCCATTCTCGATACACCCCTACCACAATATCTGGTATTACAACAGAGATTTTATCAACCTGTAAACTGTTAAGAGAAATGAATTATATAAATACAACTCAGATTACTAGGCTAAGCCAACAGGGCTCGACTAGTAAAAACTGGTACTGCACACCAAATGGAGTATTCAGTGGTATGCTGGGAGGCATGAGACGTTCAGGATAGAAACAATTTTGTATAAATGAAATCACAAGTATAGTTAGACTACTAAGGAATTCAGTTGATGAGTGATTTCATTGGAGAGTAGAAACCAATTTGTATGAGTGAAATTAAAACAAAACTACAAAAATAAATCACTTCACACTTAAGTTAAACACTTTGAGCTATGTCAGCGTTTTTCTATGCCTACATTCCTGAGGGAATAGATCTTTGCTCTTCTTTATTGATGGATTTATATCACTAAGAAAGTGGGCCCACTAAAAAGCACAATTAAGCTTAAAGTTGCATAGTCAATAAGTGTTAAATTTTTGTCAAATCAATTTATATTCTCTGTCCAGTCCTTCTGTCACATCCAATGCATACATTTCTGAAGGAACTGGTTTGGATAAGGGTCATCTGACGCCTACAAAGATTACCCTAAATTTACTGTTTTTTAGTACAGTTTAATAATCAAATAAAATAAAAAATAAATTAAAATATAATTACATTTCCTAAATGTAACTAATAACAGTTCTAATATAAGTTGTAAAAGTGATATATGTTATAAGAAATCTAAAAGAAAAGCTGACTGTGCATAGCTTCTGCAGTAACTGTTTAAGAACTCATAGTAACAATACACTAATTTCYAGGAAAACTAAGAATAATCTGAATCAATTCTTCAAAAATAAGGTACACATTACAATATTTATACCTTGCATACTGAGCTGAATAGCCCTGCGGAGATCTGCTTCTTCATCTTCCATGTCAATTTCCTGGCGACTTAGTGCCAGAGCCCTCTGCAAATCCTCCTCATCTTCATCTAACATTCCTGATCCATCATTTGCTTCTAAAACCCGTTCCAGGTCTGTTCTAAGGACTCTGAAGAACAAAAGCAATCATAATAACTGCTGCCCTAGTCTTTAATTTTAGACATAATACAAAGGCATTTGCAAACTGAAGATTTTAAGTACAAATAAGTTTTCTGTCAGATAAGCTCTAGTAATATGAAGATGGTATTGTAATGTGCACCTAAGTTAATACACTTAAGTAATTCAAAGAATTCGTTCAAACTGATTCAATAAACTTTGCTAAAATAGGACTAAGATATAGCTCAGTTGGTAGAGCACTTGCCTTGCATGTACAGGGCCCTGCGTTCAATCTCCAGCACCACAAAAACAAAACAAAGCAAAACAARACTAGACTAAATCCTAGCCAGGTGCAATGCCACCTACCTACAGTCCCAGCTACCCAGGAGGTTGAGGCAGGAGGATGGCAAATTTGAGGCCAACCTGGACAACACAATGAGACTCTGTCTCTTATAAAGAAAACATGAGGGCTAGGGTGTAGCTCAGTGGTAGGACACATGCTTGGAACCTGGTTCAATCCCCAGCACAATCAATCCATCAATCAAAATTTAAAAGTAAAATGAAAAGCCTAAGAAAGAGACCCTGTAAAACACCACACATTAAATGCAAGCATGGAAGTTTAATTCTTATATATAATGAAATACTATTATATCTTCTATACTATAAGCTAATTTTTACCTTTGTTCTTTTAGTTGTGCTAATTCTTCTCCAATAAGTTTTGGTCGGTGCATCTGTTGGACCCTTATCATCTGCAGAAGCTGGTCAGCTTCACAATCTGGTAGATCACCCTTAACAACAAATATAGAATAACCTAAAAAAAGGCAAAAATAAACTAAAACAACTAGAAAGAGATTCAGAACTGACTTTAAATGATAACAGAGAGGCAGCATATCATGGGGGGATGAGGGAACCAAGCTGAAGATGCAGAAAGACCTGGGATCAAATGATGATTCTTACATGTATTCATCCAGGACAAATTACTTAAAGTCTCTGAGCCTCGTTTTCCCTACCTATAACACTAAAATAGTTATCTTCCAGAGTGACTACGAGAAACAAGGGGAACAGTGTTTATTAAAGCCCTACTGACACAGAACTTGACCCAACAGACTACTCACTAAACGGGAACAGAGAAGCAGTTCACTAAAGGAGTGGGGAAGAACGAAGGATTTAGAATGGGACCATGTAGGGTCAATCTCAGATCTTCTACCTCCCACCTACATGGTGTTGGTCAATCATGTTACCAATCTGTCTTGAGTTCTTCAATTCTTGATCAGACCATACCAGAACCTTACTCCAAACTGATGTGAAGACACAGTAAGATAATGTGTATAACAACGGGTAATGTAGGTAAAATGAGTCACAGGTGCAAACAGCTGTTGGCCACCATAACCCACACTCATCCCTTCTAACTGAAAACGGGAGGTAGAAAGTTAATATAAAATCTAGCCAAAATGACAAACATGCAGCTCCTGTTTGGAAGGAGTTACACTCTCCAATATAATTTTTTATAAATATGAGCCAGGAGGCCAGGGCTTTTCCAGCTGGATGTTCCACACAGAAACTGAATACAGGTAGGCTAGACCTAAATCTAATTGATTTAAAGTTTTTCTCCATAAATTCTCTTAAACTTTGTTGATTATTATTGGATATCCTTTGTGAATATTAAGAATGAATCTGGAGAAAGGATAGCATCTTCAACAAATGGTGCTAGGAAAATTGGAAATCCATATGCAACAAAATAAAATTGAATCCCTTTCTCTCGCCATGCACAAAAGTTAACTCAAAATGGATAAAAGAACTAGGAATCAAACCAGAGACTCTGCATCTAACAGAAGAAAATGTTGGCCCTCATCTCCATCTTGTGGGATCGGGCTCCAAATTCCTTAATAGGACACCTATAGCACAAGAGTTAAAATCAAGAATCAACAAATGGGACATATTCAAGCTAAAAAATTTTTTCTCAGCAAGAGAAACAATAAGTGAGGTAAATAGGGACCCTACATCCTGGGAACAAATTTTTCCCCCTCACACTTCAGATAAAGCGCTAATCTCCAGAGTATACAAAGAACTCAAAAAGTTAAACAACAAAAAAACAAATAACCCAATCAACAAATGGGCCAAAGATTTAAACAGACACTTCACAGAGGAAGATATACAAGCAATCAACAAGTATATGAAAAAATGCTCACCATCTCTAGCTATCAGAGAAATGCAAATTAAAACCACTCTAAGATACCATCTCACTCCAGTAAGAAAGGCAGCCATTATGAAGTCAAACAATAACAAGTGCTGGCGAGGATGTGGAGAAAAAGGTACACTCCTGCATTGTTGGTGGGACTGCAAACTGGTACAGCCAATTTGGAGAGCAGTATGGAGATTCCTTGGAAAGCTAGGAATGGAACCACCATTTGACCCAGCTATTCTCCTTCTCAGACTATACCCAAAAGACCTAAAAAGAGCATACTACAGGGACACAGCTACGTCAAGGTTCATAGCAGCACAATTCACAATAGCTAGACTGCGGAACCAACCCAGATGCCCTTCAACAGATGAATGGATTAAAAAATGTGGCATTTATACAAAATTGAATATTACTCAGCAGTAAAAAATAACAAAATCATGGCATTTACAAGGAAATGGATGGCACTAGAGCAAATTATGCTAAGCGAAGTTAGCCAATCCCTAAAAAACAAATGCCGAATGTCTTTGCTGATATAAGGGAGGTGACTCAAAACAGAGTAGGAAGGAAGAGCATGAGAAGAAGATTACCAAGAAATAAGGAAAAGAGGAGGGAGGGAAAGGGAAGGAGAAGGGGAAATGCATGTCAAGACGGAAGGAGACCCTTATGGGTTCACAAAATACATATACGATGGTGTGAGGGGGAAGGGAAGGGAAAAAAAAAAGAGAAAGAGAGATAAGTGTCACAGTAGTATGGATAGACAATAGGGAGGGGAGGGGAGGGGGGATAGGGAAGGCAGCAGAATACAACTGACACTAGGATTGCTGTATGTATACACATGGATGTATAACCAATGTGATCCTGTAATCTGTACACATGGAAAAATGAGAATTCATACCCTATTTGAATCAAATGTATGATATTCAAGATCATTGTATTGTCTTGAACAACTAATAAAAAAAAATAAAAATTAGGGCTGGGGATGTGGCTCAAGCAGTAGCATGCTCGCCTGGCATGCGTACAGCCCGGGTTCGATCCTCAGCACCACATACAAACAAAGATATTGTGTCCGCCGAAAACTAAAAAGTAAATATTAAAAATTCTCTCTTAAAAAAAAAAAGAATGAATCAAAGATCAAAAGAATTATTCATGTAAAACTCAAACTAGTACATTTAACTTTACAAGAACAAGTATATTCACAGTTCACATGGCTTAACACATTTTCTGCCAGTAAAACTGAAATTGTTTCTAGATCCTAGAATAAATATGCCAGCTCACCTTGGTATTCCATGGAGCATGTCATTAAAAGTAGACACTCTGCCTCATTCAGGTAAAGTAGTAGAGTTCYTGGGTTTTATCCAAAATTTTAAATTTTATTCTAAGTGTGTTGGGAAGCCACTGAATGGTAAAGAGTGAGTGTGGGATATAATATACATTATATTTTTTAAAATAACACTCCAGCAGCTTTATCAATATATAGGAACRAGAGTGTAAGAATGATTTTTCACTGAAATGGAAAACTTGAGAGACATCATGTATGGACAGTTAAAAAAAAAAAATCAGTTTTTTGTGAATTAACATGAACTGCTTTCTGGACTTCCAGGTAAAAATGTCAAAATTAGGAGTTTGGTATTCAGAGCAGGTATCTAGGTTAAAAAGTTTGGGAACTGTTAGAATACATATCTTAGAGTTGACAGAATCATGGAGTAGCACATAATTAAGAAGCTGTCCAAGAACTGTACCCTGGATCACTTCAACAGTTACAGATTGGAAATGAGAAGATCCATAAAAGGAATCTGAAAGCAGCAGCCTATGAGACCTGAGGAAAACCAGAGCATGGGGGCCTGGAAACCAGGAACAGGGTGTTTCAAGAAGGCAAGACATGACAAGGAACCAAGGGTTTAGGCCTAAAAGACAAGATACCCAAGTATATAAAACCAAACAAGGAAAAACACTGTAATCATAAACGCAAATCGAAATGACAACAAGATGTCCAACCTAGTCATAAGAAGCATGCCTGCATGCTCAGATTGTGATCTGTAATTATCATTAATGAAAGGCTCCAGGTATCCTTGGATAAATGAGGGCAGGAAATGCACAGATAAACCTGAAACATCCTGTTAAACAAGAAAGTTTACTCCTAAGTGTCTGACATGACCAATGGTCATGTCAGACACTTGGGAGTAAACTCCAAAATGTTCCCACTGGTCAATGATGGTACAATTTGAATGTTAATATGAATAATATTTACAAAGGACTGAAACATGTGAACTACATTTTAACTGATTAATTTATAATGGTGCTTTAGTTTTAAAAAAAGAAAAAATTAATTGGTCACCTTTGGAGGACACACAAAACCAATTTGTTTTAAAAACTGACAAAAGGACAGAGGTGTTCAGTCAGTAACAGCGCACATGCTTATTATGTGCAAAGCCACGAGTTCAAACACACACACACACACACACACACACACACACACATCCAAAAGATTGAGGGAAAAAAATATTTATTCTTCCTCTTCTATATAAACTATGAAATAAATGAGGAGAGGAAGTATTTTATTTATGAAATAAATGAGGTATAGAAGTATCCCAGCTAATAAATGAAGGAATGACAGGATTCTAATATCACCATTTTACAACCTTCAGTGAAAAATGGATCTAGGCATTAATCACTAATGGTGAAGATCACAAAACAACAACTACCAAGAGCCACATCATCTGTGAAATCTATCTACCCCCAAAATCAACCTGAATTGGATCAAGTCTACTGATCTGAAGACCAGCAACAGAATATCCAGGGACACGAAAAAGAGAGGTTCAATGAGCAAAATCCAGAACTTGAGAAGCAGGACAAATGACTCATCCTCTACCCCATAAAATAAATAAACTAATACAGGAAAAAATGAAGAGGAGAGGAATCCTACAGTTAGATTCAGGAAATATACCAACCCAGCACAATTCTATTTCAAACCAGACTGAACTGTAAACACATAAGACAACCAGAGAGACTAGAGATTTGAATACTCACAGGGTATTTGATGTTTTTAAAAGCACTGTGATTAAATTTTTTAAGATGTGAATACAGTTATTTTGGCTATTTTTTTAGTTTTCATTTTTAAAAAACTTATTAAGAAAAKACTTCATAGAAAAATAATAAAATACCCAGTATTTGCTCCAAAATAAACAGTGGAAAGAAGCAGACAAGGTACAAATAAAAGGCTATAATAACTGTTAAAGCTGTGTGAAGGGTACATGAGGCAGGTGTCATTTGTTTTATATTTTGTCTGATTTTTWAAAATGTTTGTTTTGTTGTGTTTATAAAAGGGCATAATCAAGTACACCCTCAAATAAAAAGAAGACTGAGAATTGAATAGCAGCAGTGGCAACGGAGGTCACTGGTGAGACTGAAAAAGGTTTTTCAGTGACATACTGGTTTGGGCAGCAAGTCTAGAATGAGTTCAAGAATAGGAGACAACACACTAGGGATGAGTCAAGAGGAAAATTTAAAATGGGAAGCAGCCAGAGTTCTGTGAAATTAAGAGATGCTTTTCCTTTTTAATCAATGGAGATAAAGAGCTATTTCTCCACTGATAGGAATAAAATAAAACTAAATTTAAAAAGGGGAAAGAAATAATCACCCAAGACAATGGAGAGATAAGAGCAGGGGCATCTTAAGTAGGAAGAGCTGGTATCCAATCACATGGAGGGGTTGGTCTAGTTTGGATACAGGAGACAGTTCATCTATTTTAAGAGGCTCAAACACAAGCAGATATAAACAAGCTAGCAGATTTGCTGGTGGAAAATAAAGTTCAATTTTAATTGCTTCCATGCTCTTCCATAAGCAAGGTGGAAGGAAGGAAGCTGGAAGTGGCCAAAGGTTTAAAGAGATAAGCTATGACATAATCATCTTGGAGAATGGTACATGAATTTACTAAGGAAATACAACAGGCAGTTCAGGCAGCACATCAAGGGAACATTAATAATCACARGACCTGTAATCACAAAACCAATCAACATATTTTATGTTATTTTTTTAACCATGTTCTGTTGCTGTGATACAGGAATGGCCAAGGCCAAAATAGGATTATAAGTAGAGTTCAGATTTTAGTCACTAAAATTATAATGGAGGGAGAAAGGGAAAAAAATTGAAGAATGAAGAGAAGTAAAAAATATTGATGGATCATAGAAAATAAGCAGGGTAAAAAAGAAAGTAATAGTTTAAGGGGATGTTTGGGTCCCATGGTAGAATTTAAAGAATTGTTAGAATGCGAAAAACAGAGAAAACATGGCCTAAAGACAGGAGGTGGTAGTCAAAGAACAGGATGCTTATAACTGGGACTTGACAATGGTTATGGTTATCAATAATGGCAAAGAGAAAGTGAAGACAACGATCTTTTAAGAAAGAAGGTGGTCAGATTGATTACTGATATAAAAAATCACTAAGAATGATATAAGAAATTGAAGGTGGGGGGATATACATGAATCCTTAAATCTCCAGTGAAAACAGAGGCAGCTCAGGGATGACTCCAAAAGGACACATATAGCCTAGTCTAGAGGCATATATTTCAAAGGAGCTCGACTTAACAGGGAGGAACACTGGCTTAGAAGGGACATGGACAAACAAGAAGAATATCCATATCTCCCCTTGGGCCTGTGGTATGTGGGACATGAAAGAAAAAACTATTACTTAGAAGGGCTGTAAAGAAGCCCCAGGCGTCAGGGAGAAATCACACTGAACAGTATCATCCAGATCCCAGGCTAAAGTTCACCACCCAAAATGTAAAGATTTTTACCACCTCTGATGGAAAAACTTTATTACACAGTTCTATTTAGCTACTTTGAAAGACAACATTACAAAGTTTTAAGACTTTATTTACCTTCCTGTTGTAATTGAGCCAAGAAAAGTGCAAGGTATGTATCTGATATTAATTCTGGACCCGTCAAAAGAGAATTCAAGTTAAACCACTGGGGGGAAAAAAAAGTCAACATTTTAGTATATATTATATGAAATAAAGAAGTTTCACATGTTAATAGATATAACCCACTAGTAAGCTTGCCTAAAATAATGAAAATATGCCAAATCGAGGGGGTTTTTTTGAGACTTTTAAAAACAATATGATAAAAAATGGCATAGTGTTATCACTATTAAATGCTTTTTTAAAGCAGAAGCTTCAGTGAGGCATGGCTACATACCTGTAATCAAAGCTACTCAGGAGGCTGAGGCAGGATTGCAAATTAGGCAAGCCTCAGCAATTTAGCAAGACCCTGTCTTAAAATGTGCTGGGGATGTAGCTTAGTGGTAGAGTGCACCTCATTGAAAAAAAAACTTCAAGCCATAAATTTAAATCCCTTCCACACAGAAACTAATAGTACTTTATAATGTCTTTGCTGATAACTATGGCTAAATCTTTTTTCAAAGCATCAATAACTAATCATATCATACTGGAAATATGCAACTACACAAAGTTTTCCCACTACTGATAATTTTGGTAAAAAGAATCCAATTGTAAGAAAGATGAGACATTCCACAAAGAGCACTTATAATCACTAATTCCCTTCAACATGTTTACCAAACCACCATTACATGTAATTAACAGGATTTAGTAACTCCTTTTAAGAGTACAACTTTAACCTACAGGATATAAAAAGTTTCAAAGTTGTTGTCAACATCATGAACARTTAAATACTTTTCCTAGATTTTGACATTCCTGATAATACTTTTTTCCAGTCTTCTCTTTTGTTATACAGGTACCTCAAACAGACAGAATCCATAATAAACAAAAAAAAATCTAAATTTTAAAAAAATATATGAATCAGAACTAAAGATAACAAACCAAAATTTGACATCTGTATTGGTCAAAGGTAAATTAGTTCAAAATGTGAAAATTCAATTTTGAAGAATTAAAATTAAAAAAAAAAATCTCAAAATAATAACATGGAAGTTTCTCTGCAGGCTGGGGATATATAGCTCAGTTGGTACAGTGCTTTCCTCACATGCACAAGGTCCTAGATTCAATCCCCAGCACCACAAAGAAAAAAGAAAAGAAAAAACCTAGTGATTAAACAGAAAAAAAGTGAAATATCTAACTCTTGACATAATTTTCTGAAGATAGGGACTGGGATTGTAGTTCAGTGGTAAAGTGCTTGCCTAGCATACAKGAGGACTTCAGTTCAATCCCCAGTACTGCAAGGAAAAAAAAAAAAAATCAAAAAACTCCTGAAGTTATAAATAAAATCCAGAGGTTAAATCATCTTGGCAACCTTCTGCTCGGGTTTCTCCCAGAGTGAATTCCTTCTGGGTGACCTATATACTCTTGAGTCTCTACATATCTACTTCCTCTCAGCTCCTCAGGGAGGACCTTAAGAAACAATTTTTKGGGGCTGGGGCTGTAGCTCGGTGGCAGGGCACTTGCCTTGAATGTGTAAGGCACTGAGTTTTATCCTCAGCACCACATAAAAATAAACAAATAAAATAAAGGCATTCTGTTCATCTACAACTACAAAAATTTGAAAAAAAAAAAATAAAGAATTTTTTTAGGGGGGTGCAGGGGATTGAATCCAGAGCCTTACCTTCATTCACTCTGCCACTGACCTGTGGCTCCAGGTAAGGTAAAGCTGCTTGAAGGTGGCTGACTTCAAAGATGACAGCAGGATATTGTTTCTGAATTATCTTTTATTGATTTAACTCAATGCACTCTTTCTTCTGTTTTGTTTTTCACTCATTTTATTCTTTTAAACAGCTTTATTGAGGTATGACTGATGAGCAATATATTGCACATACTTAAAAATCTACAATTTTAACATGTTTATGCCCWTGAAGCCATCCAGACAAGCAAGAGAGTGAAAGCACCCACTATGGAAGGTTTCCAGCACCCTACTGCGGCCCTTGCTTCTTCCTGCTTCCCTCCTTCCTCATCCCCACACCATCACTGGTTAATATACTTTCTGTCACTATAGCTTACTTCCCATTTTTCTGGACTTTCTTATAAATGAAGCCACACAGAAAACAGTGCTTTGTGTCTGGCTTCTTTCAGCATGGTATTCTGAAATTCATCCATGTTGTTGCATATATTGAGTTCATTCTTTTTTTTAATCATACAATTTGGTTTTCAATAACCCTCTATTAAAGATTCAAAATTCTGAGGGGGGTTGTGGCTCARTGGTAGAGCACTTGCCTAGCATGTGTGAGGCACTGGGTTCAATTCTCAGCACCGAATACAAATAAATGAATAAAACAAAGGTCCATCAACATCTAAATATATATATATTWAAAAAAAAAGTTCAAAATTCTAATAAAAAAGAACTTTAAATGATTCTGTTTCTTCAAAAAGCTTGTTCAAAACACAATTTTTTTTAGAAGTGATTTAATGAAGATGTGTATTAGAGGGCATTTTAGAATTCTTTGAATAATCTTTTTTTTTTTAAGATAGAGAGAGAGAAGAGAAAGAGAATTTTTTTAATATTTATTTTTCAGGGCTGGGGATGTGGCTCAAGCGGTGGCGCGCTCGCCTGGCATGCGTGCGGCCCGGGTTCGATCCTCAGCACCACATACCAACAAAGATGTTGTGTCCACCGAAAACTAAAAAAATAAATATTAAAAATTCTCTCTCTCTCTCTCTCTTAAAAAAAAATTTATTTTTCAGTTGTCGGTGGACTCAACATCTTTATTTTATTTTTATATGGTGCTGAGGATAGAACCCAGCGCCCCGCGCATGCCAGGCGAATGCGTTACCGCGTGAGCCACATCCCCAGCCCATCTTTTTTTTTTTAATATTTATTTTTTAGTTGTAGTTGGACATGATACCTTTATTTTATTTACTTATTTTTATGTGGTGCTGAGAATAGAACCCAGGGCCTTGCACATGCTAAGTGAGTCCTTTACTGCTGAGCCACAATCCCAGCCCAAATAATCTTGATACACGAAAGCAAACTTGTTTGCATACTTTTATTCCTGGTTGACATGATATCAGGCTTTGGGTCAGTACTAAGCTAAATACAAATTTCTAAATGTGAGAGTCTACTGGGCAGAACACATTCATCACAAAAAACCCTACTGAAAAGTAACAACATCTGCACTGTCTTAAATATAAAATTTTTATCATGGTAGTTAAATTGTATATGGTTGTCACAAAGAAACCTATAAAAGAAAATCGAATTATCTCTTAAAATAGCAAATATCTATCCATCAAAATTGGAACCACTGAATGGAGGCTGAGGATAAAGCTAAGTGGCAGAGCACTTGCCAACAGGCACAAGGCCCTGGAGATATTACCCAAAAGATAATAAATTTAAAAGATTGTGACTTATGGGGGGCTGGGGATATAGCTTAGTTGGTAGAGTGCTTGCCTCGAATGCGCAAGGTCCTGGGTTCAATCCTCAGCACTGCCAAAAAAAAAAAAAAAAAAAAAAACCATACCAAACCCATGCCCCATCTATATTTATGGTCAGTTTCATTTTAAAGGTACTGACCCTTACATTTTAGTTTCAAATAGAGTGCAGAATGAAAAGAAAGGCAGGGAAAAAAAGCAGAAATATTACCTGTTTTCCTAATTTTCTAACTGTAAACCAGTGTTCTTTATAATTGCATATAAATGATTTTTCATTTCTAGAAAAGAAAAAAAATACATATTAAATTGAAATAGTAAGAGTTCATATTCATAAAAATTTGGGAAACTTAGATGTTTACAGTTAAGTATCATTAATTTGTTAAAAAAGTCACACAACTGAATGAACAGCTTAGTGATGTGGTGCCAAAGTACAGCCTTCTGCACCACTTGGGTCAGGTGAGTGCCAGTAAGGAGACTAGAGTACAGGAAACTTAAAAAGGCAGATACTCATGGACATCAAAAGATAAAATAGGGGAAGTCTAAGGGAATGAAACAGGGATAACCAAAACATTCAAAATATACTTTTCTTCATTAACAAATTATAAATTTAAATATAAAATTTAGGAAAAGAGATTCAGAAAAAGCTAAAAAAAAAAAAAAAAAAAAGAAGGTAATCTTACATAGGATCAATCCTGAGCCTCTGATACTCTGGACTGTTGAACAGGATTAGTTCTAAACCCCAAACTTTCAAGGCATTGCTTATAACCTGTTTAAAAAAAATAATAGCAACTTTTCACGAGCTAAACCATTCAATTTCAAATTTAAGTAGCATAGTCATGTTACTTATGTAAGTAATTCCACTTCATATGTACATTTCTCTAAAAGGCTATGGTTTWAAAAAAAGTGTATCTGCATAGAGATACTACTAAATCCACAAAACAAACACACACACACACACACAATCACACACACACACATATTTTGTGTTTGTTTGTTTTTTGCGGGGGGTGGGGGAGAAGGGACAGGGCATTTGACCACTGAGCCACATCCCCAGCCCTTTTTTGTATTTTATTTAGAGACAGGGTCTCACTGAGTTGCTTAGCACCTCACTTTTTACTGAGGCTGGCTTTGAACTGGCAATCCTCCTGCCTCAGCCTCCCAAGCCACTCGGATTACAGGTGTRCACTACTGCACCTGGCACACATATGTATTTTTAAAAAGTGCTTTTTATAACCAGGTTCCTGAGATGTTCAAAAATCCAGATGTGTATTCCGTCATGTTGATGCTGTTCTTAAAACTAGTTCATGATATAGATCTGATAATCTGGCTGCTGTGGGCACTGCGTTTGAAAAGTTACATCCAACTCACCACCTGCAATGTCAGTAATCACACATCTACTAAAATAAGTTCTTCTTGGGAATTTAGACTGAGTTTCTTCCTGTGGTCATGAGTTTGTAATTTGTAGAACAAAAGACAAATTGATTATTTCCAGCTGTTTGAGAAAAAGGGAAATCTCTAAAAATTCACTCTCTGGCCTCCAAGGTGGCCAATAAAGAAGCAAGTCATCCTGGTAGCAGCGCAAGCAAGCAGTGAGTGCAACGCAGTGGGCAGGTCAACAGTGAGGAAAGCAGTGCTGATGCACAGGAAATGCCAGTGCTGGGCCACTCTTACTCTGTCCCCAGCCCAGCTGAGTGGCCCTCACCATTAACAGCGAAACGAAGAAGCACTGCGTGGAAAAGCTGCTGAATGAGAAGTCCAGAAAGAGTAGCACAGGGGAATGGAAACCAAGATACTTGCAGAAGTAGGTTCCTCAGAGGAGAGCCTCATACTACAGAAACAGGACACATTCACGGACAAAAGAATCTCAAATGTGCATAACAACCACAGGACTGAAAATGTAACTTGGTGACAGAATATGCACTTAGCATGTGAGTAAGTAAATAAATGGAGCAATAAAAAAAAAATAGATCAAAAGCTACAGACCATAAAGCTATAAGGCTAATTTAAAGGGAAGATAAGGCAGATGGGGGTGTGGCTCAGCAGTAGAGCACTTGCCTCCCACCTGTGAGGCACTGGATTAGATCCTCAGCACCACATAAAAGCAAATAAACGAAATAAAGATACTGTGTCCATGTATAACTAAAAAATATTTTTTAAATAAAATAAAGGAAAGATAAGAAGCAGCCAGGCGAAGTAGCACATGCTATAATCTCAGTGGCTTGAGAGGCTGAGGCAGGAGGATCTCGGGTGTTCAAAGCCGGTGCTAAGCAGCTCAGTGAGACCCTGTCTCTAAATAAAATATAAAATAGGGCTGGGGATGTGGCTCAGTGGTCGAGTGCCCGAGTTCAATCCCTGGTACCAAAAAAAAAAAAAAAAAAAAAAAGTGGGTGGGGGAGGTAAGAAGTTATTAGATTTTCTCAAATTCACCCAAGAGATAATAAATTTAAAAGATTGTGACTTATGGGGCTGGGGATATAGCTTAGTTGGTAGAGTGCTTGCCTCGAATGCACAAGGTCCTGGGTTCAATCCCCAGCACCACAAAAAGAGAAGGAAAAAAAAGATTGTGACTTATTAGATATAAGGTTATTATCACTCAGATACAAAGTAAATAATCTTTCTCAAAATGTGATCATTATATTGGTCTTGGGTTATGGCCCGGTGATAGAGCGCTTGCTAGCAAGTGTGACGCACTAGGTTGGATTCTCAACACTTCATATAAATAAAGTCCACTGACAACTAAAGAAAAATTTTAAAGATAATTRAAGGTACTGTATTCATCTACAACCAAAAGTATTTTTTTTAAAAAGTGATTATGGGCTGGGGTTGTGGCTCAGAGGTGGAGCTTGTCTAGCACTTGAGAGGCCCTGGGTTCATCCTTCAATACCACATTAAGAAAAATAAATAAGTAAAATAAAGGTGTGTGTCCAACTACAACTAAAAAGTAAACCTTTTTTAAAAAAGCGATTATTATGAAGGTCAAGGGTTGAATGCTTTCTTTCATGTGTGAAAGCTAGAGAGGAAAAAGGAAAAGAAAGGTGGGGTGATCTCCTAAAAATCAAAGGGAGATCAGGAAAGAGACAAAAGGGTGGGAGGTTGGGAGGGAGGGGAAAGCACTAGGGAGCAATACTGGCCAAATTATATTGTTATATTGTTTGCATCTATGAATATGTACCAACAAATTCCATCAATATATACAATAACGTGCCAACAAAAAAATGTGGAAAGAAAAAACGTGATTATTATATAATCTTTGTGTTCAAACTTATCTATATAAAAATCTCTGTGGACAATCTACTGGAGGGATTTCTGAAAGTCCTATCATTACAGTGATTATAAAAGGCTGTGAAAAGATCCTCCCTAAACCATTAACTGAGTTTAATGTGCATGGGAAGCAGACAGCACTTTGTACATGCTCGCAACTACTTACCTGAATAGAAAAAAAGCCACTGTCATCCATATTTCCAGAAGGCTGCTGTTCATTTTTATGGATAGTTGAAGGGGGAGGTAGGGAGGAAAAAAATTATCATTAGTGTGCATAATTTAAAATAACATGTGCATTACCATTTACAAAATCAACAGCAGAGTTATAATTAGCAAGTCAGATTCCTACAGGAAGAAAGGCTCATCCTCTTCTCAACAGTACCCACATTTTTTAAAAATATGACTTAAGTGAATTTAAAATCGGTACCTGTAAAAATGTGCGATAGTCTTCACTAGTAACTCCTCCTTCTGCCATTCTCATCCTTTCTTCTTCATCCAGTTGATGTGCGATGGAGGATAATTCCACAGGGCTAAAATATTCTCCTTGCAATAGATTATTCAAGCAATGTTGAGCACAAAGCGAGCCTTCTTGCTAATATTTCCAGAAGAAAAAATTCAAATGTTATTTATTAAGCAGATCTTTACAGTTTCCTCTTTTTTTTCCCCTAAGTACTAGGGATTGAACACTGAGCTACATACCCAGCCCTTTTAAAAAAAWTTTTTAATTTTGAAACAGGATCTTGCTAAGTAGCCAAGGATGTCCTCACACTTGCAATCCTCTAGCCTCCCAAAAGTAGCTGGGATCACAGATGTGCACCACAATGCCAGCTAAATTTGCATAGTATCTTCTGCAAATTTTAATCATTAACTTTTTTTTTTTCCTTTAAGTTGTTTTAATCATTAACTTTTTAATACAGTCAAACCAAACCTCTTAAGAATTAGACAATCATAATTAATATAAATCATGTACTTTTATTTGTCAACATTTATTTTACAATTCTACTATTAATGAAACTATAATTATTTAGTTATATGATCAAAAACTAAGAGTTATATAGTAAATAAACATAACCTATAAAATCTCATATTTTACTAAAATCTACTCTTTAAAAACACTTAAAACATTTAATTTTCAGTACCTAAAATATATTTGCTTTTGGCAAATCACATGGCAAATTACAAATGCTGAAAGGGAGTTGTAATCACTAGAACATTTATTCTTTAAATCTTTACTGGTCTAAACACTTGTCCTAGAATTTCAGATTTCAAGAACTGGTAAAGGTGAGAAAAATTCTGTCCCATGTTAAATTTATAGCTTTAGAGCTGAGGTTCTCTTCAAGAAATCCTGCAGCTGATGTTATATAGAGTACCATGAGCAGAACTATCCCACACTGACCCTGAGAGTACACTTATAGACAAACCAGCAAGAGGAACAACATCCAAGCTCAAGAAAAGAATGGAGACTTATGGGTGGATGAGATCCCTCCCTGTGACACAGACCCAAGGTTTGCCTCTCCATGTGACAATGGCAGATGGGACAACATTTCCTTCTGCTAACCCAGGTCTCCTGAATTGTCCTACCCCAAGAAGGTGTACTCCTTAATTCAGGTGGTGTGACATCATGCAATTTGTTCTGAGCTATGTTATATGGTGTTGGTGACCTCAAARACACAAAATTGTCCTGATGAATGAYTGAAAGCGTCTAGCTAGGCGCAGTGGCGCACACCTGGCCCAGCAACTTGGGAGGCTGAGGCAGGAGGATGCGCAATTTTGCAGGAACAAAAATCAGTTGCTGAAAAAGATACAGGGTATATGTATGTAACAGATTAGAAAGGCAGCATTGAGGCAGTCTAAGTTGGGGATGAAGTAARTTTATCTTCATAGTTAGGTTAAGGGATAAGTGGGTTTGAGTTGAGAGGTAACTCTCCTCAAGTCACAGACACCATGGTGAGAGACTTCTTTGTATCTACCTCGTTTTCCTTCTACTGTGTATCTGTTGCCATAGAGCAAGCGCCCACCCTGCCCCAAACAATGTAAAGTGGGGGAATATGCAGATGTTCTAGTTCTACTGGGAAAAAAGACAAGTAAGCATTTCACAAGATGATAGCCAAATAATGCAAAAAAGGGTGCTCAACTTCAGTGGTCATCAGGGAAATATATATTAAAATCACAGTGTGTTCCGACTACACACTCTCCAGAACAGCTAAAATGGTGAAAAGAATTAGAGACAAAAAATCTGTCACATGTTGGGGGAATGTAAATTAACATAATCACTTTGTAAAAATCTTTAGAGTATCTTGCTAAAGTTGAAGTATCCATACCCTATGATCAGCATTTCCAATATTAGCTACATAATACAAGCATGTGAAGACATGTATAAGAGGGTTCATAAGGGCTGGGGATGTGGCTCAAGCGGTAGCGCGCTCGCCTGGCATGCGTGTGGCCCGGGTTCGATCCTCAGCACCGCATACCAACAAAGATGTTGTGTCCGCCGAGAACTAAAAAAAATAAATATTAAGAATTCTCTCTCTCTCTCTCTCTCCCCTCTCTCACTCTCTCTTTAAAAAAAAAAAAGAGGGTTCATAAAAGCTGTTGTAATGCCTCCCAAACTGAAGACTATCTGAATGGAAAACCAACATGAAAGAATAAATTGTGTTATTCCAAAGAAATACTCTATAACAATGAGAATAAATTAACTATAACTAACTATAACAATATGGATGAATTTCTCATATAAATTAAAAAAAGAAAATAGGGCTGGGGGTATAGCTCAGTGGTACAGCACTTGCCTAGCATGTGCAAAGCCATAGGTTTGATACCCAGCACTGAAAAACCAAACCAAACCCAGATTCAGAAGAGAACATGCTGTATGACTCCACTTACAAAAGCTCAAAAACAGGCAAAACTTATCTACTGAAATTAGAATTGGTGGGAGTGAGTGTAGGGGTGGAGGAGGAAGGAGCTCCTACCTGGAAGAGAGGCACAAGAAGCTTTCAGGATGTAGGTACATCTCCTCTGACTTGATCTAAGTGTTGTTTTCATGTGTGTTCATGTTGTGAGTTCACCGAGATGTACTCGTGACTTGTGTGTTCTTATAGGTATTAACAGAGCTACCTAATATGATAAGCAGACACTGGGTTTTCTGGAAACAGGGGTAATGCCAATTTTCTGTGCTGCTGTTAGGATTCATGCCTTTGTTTGGAGTTCACAAATTATGAACACCATACTTAATATATCATATCAAAATAGTGATATCCAGATGGTTTATAAAACACCTCTCTACCAAAACTTAGCTTTCAATTATGGAAMTTTAGCACTTAAAATGAAAGATTGTCCAAGTAAAACTGTAATGCTGTAGGAAATACCAAACACTATACTTGTAATACAATTTAATAGAACAAAAGAACAAATTCTTTTTTTTTCTTTTGCAGTACTGGTGCTTGAACCCAAGGCCTTCTGCATGCTCTACCACTGAGCTTCATCCCCACCCCTTTTTACTCTTTGAGACAGGGTTTCTCTAAGTTGCTGAGACTGGTCTTGAACTTGTGATCCTCCTCCCTTAGGCTCCCCAAGTAGCTGGGATTACAGGTGTGTTCCACTACACCTGGCTTATTCAGTCCAAATTTAAGAATCACTTTGTCACAAGACAGATCAAATCCTACATGGGGGAAAAAACTTGTATAATAAGCCAACCTGAAATTACCCACTTTCCTGCTCTGCCTCCATCTTAAACTATCTGTCCCCAGTTACCTCTTTCTAATCAAGTATTAACCCAAGCAGAATGGAAACTCACTTTGTTATTTAATGTTCAGTGTATTAAAATTCTGTGACTTCAGGCAAGATTTTATTTTGTTGGGCTCAAAGGATGAGTAAACTGCACCTCCAGGTCTACGAGATGAAATAGTGCATAAAACCATGAAAGGAAACTACTCCCAGTCTTGACCAATCTATTAGCTACCATAGAAACCAGGTATAACCCTAAGGGTGCTCTGAGAAACGTTAGCAAGGGACATGCAATCTCCAGTTGTAAGGGATAAATGGGTTGGAATGGGAGGGTCACGGTCCCTCAAGTCACAGCCATCACGGTGGAAGATGACTTGGCTCTACCTCTTCAACTCCCAGTGTTCTCTCACCTGTTTTTTTTTTTTTGTTGTTGTTGTTGTTGTTTGTTTGTTTACATTGTTTTTGTCAATGCTGGAGACTGAATCCAAGGCCTCAGGCATGGTAAGTCACTCTACCTCTGAGCTACACTCCCAGTCCTCTCTCACCCCTTAGCATGAAGTCCAGAAAGCACAAGAATCTGAGTAGAAGCAATGGCTAGCACCTCTAGCACTGCCACACTCCAGGTACCTACAAGAACTTCTGCCTCCAAGGCAGACACTCGGTATCCTTACATGTGGACTGGAGCACAACAGTCAATGCCTTGTCCAGGATCATCCAGATACCACTTGTCAGAGCTGGAGTTCAAACCCAGATAGAGGTTTCAAAGTCTGTACTGTTACCACTTTCTCAAGCCACTTACCTGGAATTTGGCTTTTGCTCAGTCCTAAATACCGTAAAGACAGCTAAGAGGCAGCAACCACAAAAAGGCATGATGGATGTCACAAAGTCAAAGCTCAGTCTCTTTTTATGATTCTCATTCCCATTTCATATTACATTAAAAGTACCAATTTAGATGACACAGTGACTACACCAAGAGCAATGAGCAATATAAGTGGTAACAAAAATGACAGAAAGCATCTAGCTAGGCTCAGTGGCACACACCTGGCCCAGAAACTTGGGAGGCTGAGGCAGGAGGATCTTAAGTACAAACCCAGCCTCAGTAACTTAGCAAGGCCCTAAGAAACTCAGTGAGACCCTGTCTCTAATAAAATATAAAAAAGGGATGGGGGTGTAGCTTGGTGGTTAAGCACCTCTGGGTTCAATCCCTGGTCCCCCCACCAAAAGACAGAAAGCAAGCACCAGAAAAAGAACCCTAAAATACCTATAAAATCAGCAGTTATTGGTCATTTAGTATTAGGGTTTAGGTTAGAGCTTGATAAATTTTAGCATTGGGGACAAATTCAACCTGTTCCAATAGCTAAGAATAGTTTTTATATTTTTAGACAGTTGATAAAACACACACACACACACACACAAATATGTGATAGAAGCCAGGCATGATGAAGCACACTTGTATCCCAGTGGCTCAGGAGGCTGAGACAGGAGGATTGAGAGTTCAAAGCCAGCCTCAACAACTTCATGAGACCTGTCTCTAAATAAAACACAAAAAAAAGAGCTGGGGATTGTGGCTTGATGATTAAGTTCCCCTGGTTCAATTCCTGGTACCAAATAAAAGAAAATATGTGATAGAGACATATATGGCCAGCAAAACTTTAAAAAAGCTACAGATAATGTTGTTTAAATAGCACTGCATACATCTTAGATGCTCAAGGAACTGCGTTTTGTTTGTTTTGCTRTTTTTTGAGATGGAGCCTCACTATGTTGCCTCGGCTGGCCTCGAAGGACCCTCCTGTCTCAGCCTCAGAAGTACATGGGACTACAGGGTACACACCACTGTGCCAAGCTAAGGAACTCTCTCGATCCATTCAAATATTATTATTTTTTTAAAGAGAGAGAGAGAGAATTTTTTAATATTTATTTTCTAGTTTTCGGCGGATACAACATCTTTGTTTGTATGTGGTGCTGAGGATCGAACCTGGGCCTCACGCATGCCAGGCAGCRCGCTACTGCTTGAGCCACATCCCCAGCCCCCAAATATTATTATCTTAGACTGCCATAGATCAATGAACAACAGCTTTTCATGCTCTAACTTAATAAGGGTACTCAAAGTGAAAAATAGGAAAACCAATGTTCCAAGATAACAGGTTGGAAGCCCTCTGCAGGCAGAGATTCCTACCTACACAGGTGGGATTTTTTTCTTTTTCTTTTTTGGAGCCAAAGTTGGTTCTGGCTCAAGGGTTAAAAATGTGTTGTGGAAGGGAAGAGAATACTCTGAAAAATGGTACATTAAGCTCAAACATTCTCAAACTGGACTGAGTACATGATTAACAATGGAACCAATGGTTACAGGTACATTCTCTTGAAATGTGCCAGAACTTTAAGAGTCTTTATACACTAGGGCCATATAAGTTGATGATAAAGATAAATGTATTCCTGAAGTGGTTTGTTTTTTTTTTGGTACCAGAGATTAAATCCAGGGAATCTGAATCACCGAGCCACATCCCCAGCCTCTTTTATATCTTATTAAAGACWGGGTCTCACTGAGTTGCTTAGGGCCTCACTGAATTGCTGAGGCTGGATTTGAATTGGGATTATAGGCATGCACTATGATGCGCCACTWAAGTGTTTTAAGTCAATACACATGCTGAAAATGCAGAGTGACCTCTTTTGGGTATGTAGATTCTCCATCAGACAAGTGTTCAACAACTTCTTTTTTTTTTTCCTGCAATGCTGGAGATGGAACTCAGGCCTCTCATTCCCACATTCTAGGTGAGCACTCTAGTACAGAGCTACATTCCCAGCCCTTTTTAAAAAAATTTAATTTGAAACAGAACAATTAAACTGCCTAGTTGGCCTCAAAACTTCCCATTCTCCTACCTCAGCCTCTCAAGTAGCTGGGATTACAGGCAKGCATGCTCATCTTTTGAATCCACCCTTCAGTCATTCCTGAAATCTATCCAGATGAAGTAACAATATTGTTAAAAATATATAAGCTGGGTGAGGTGGCAYACCAGCTTGAGCCCAGCTAAATTGGAGGATGAGGCAGGCAGGAGGATTGCCAAATTGGAGGTCAGCCTCAGTATCTTAGCAAGGCCCTAAGTAACTTAGTGAAACCCTATCTCAAAAAATAAATAAATAAATAGGGTTAGGATGTAGCTAAGTGATAAAAGGGCCTCTGGGTTCAATCCTCACTGGCCTCCCCCCCAAAAAAACAAAAAACATATGAATCTCACCAAGCAGAAAGTGTCCAAAGTCTTCCATGCCAAAACATTTTGTTCTATGCCAAAGCCTTTGAAAATTAATTATAAAAATATATACATGCAAGAGCACCATGGCACACACACATAATCCCAGGCTAAGGCAGAAGGACTGATGTTGCAGGTCAGCCTGGACAATTAACATTGAGACCCCTATCTCAAAAATAAACAATAAGAAGGCTCAGTGGTAGAATGCCCCTGGGCTCATTCTCTAGTATGAAAACACACACTCAAACAACATGTATAGTTCTCAATCTCCTTAGCTAAACAACTAAATCTTTCTTGCCCAAAATTCATAAATCTGTCCAACCAAGTAAAAAGATTACTGCTAATTGTAGCGCTGAGTACTTCCATCCCCATACATAAAAATTGTTCTGTTCCAGTTTCAGGACATTCTGAAATGTTTTCTAAAATTTTAAAATACTTTCTAAAAAGTACTGCATTTAACAATTTATTTATATTTCAGATTTATGCCATGTTTTTCTGACTTTGCTTTGACTGTGGTGCAGGTATGTGTGAATTTTTACGTGTCTTGGATGAAAGATCACTCATAGGTACTTAATAAAACAAGAAAACCTTTGCTCCTACTAAATAATAACCTCATTAACAGCCCTTTCCAAACATGAAACTATTATGAAACAAGATATCATATGCCAAAACTGTCCCAGGAAAGCTTCACTCACACCCAAATGGATTGATAATTGTATATGAGAAAAGACCAGTTTCTCAGGATGCCACAGACAGTATCTTCAGTTTGTGGTCACTGGAGAATTAAGGCGAGAACAAGGCTGGGCAGATCACAACAAAATTATTTTAGTTCACGCCTAATACCTAAAACCAAAGCTGGCCTCCCAATCCGGAAAGATGGAACACCAAAAGAAACCAAACCCACATCCCGTAATAAAAACTCCTGTGACGACTTCCCTACTGCACTTCCTAAGTGTCAGGCCCTACAATGGGCGAGCCAAGGTCCCCGCCCTCGGAAGGCTCACGAACCTAGTGCAGGACATGAATTAGACCCCAAAGATCTAAGTGCAGGGGGAGGATTCCATTGTAGAACCGGAGAGCCCAGGAAAGGGAAAGTTCATTCTGCCCAGGGTGGGCTGGTGGAGTTGGAAACGGTCCAGCGAGGTGTTGGAGAGGTGACTAGCCATACTCTAGTAGGAGAGGAGGGGGACACAGAAGGAATCCTCCAAAAAGGCTACGCGAAGTGGCGGAGAACCGCCAAAGCTATCCCGCCCAGCGCCGCCCCCGGCCGGGCCCGGCTCTCGTTCTCTCCCGGCTCCCGGAACGGGTGCCGCAGGGGCGGAGGGTGCCTTGGGGGCGTAGGGGAAGCTCCCCAACCCGGGCCGAGCAGGCAGGCGGCACCCCTCGTCCGGCAAGGTCGGGATCGGGGCACCTAGGGCCCCACCCAGCTCCCCCGGAGACTGCGATACGGCACCCCAAGACCGCCACCGCACCGCGGACTGGTTCCCACCGAACGCGGACACTCACTTTCTCGTGGAAGATGGACTCCATGTTTATTTGTCTGGAGCCAACGGCCCCCGCGCCGAACCAGCCCCCTCCAGCTCCGCCCCCGACCCCACCCCTCCGCCCACCCCGCCCCGCCCCGCCCCAGCCCTGGCCACGTGCCTCACGCAGACCAATCATCCCCGAGGATGTGGGTCACGTGGAGCAAAGAGGYGATGAACGCCAGGGCGGCAACCACGGAGACACGTGACCTTGGCAGCTCAACCTCCTATCTCTTGCTTTCTGAGGGTGCTGCAGCGCCACCTGCAGTCTGGAGGATCTTCTGAGCCTCCCACCCATTGCTATGGCTTTGGTTGGTTTCTAGGGATGTAGATGAGGACCAACCAGCAGAATTCTATGTTCCTTTTGTTTTCTGCTTTACTTTGCACTTTCTACTTATCATATTTGCATGTAATTAATATGTTCTTCCTCCTTCCCCACTGAAATCCTTATTAAAGTATCATCACATTCCCCCAATATTTAGTACTTATGTAAAATAATGTTCATATTTAATAAGCTTACTACAAAGTAGGCATCTGACCAAGTGTTTTGCATATAACATTTAATACAGCAAGCTTTGATATGGGTGTTGTTATTATACCTCAAACACACATGAGGAAAATGAGGCATGGAGAAGTTGAGAAGGCATAATGTCTAAGATTAAATAGTCAGTTGCCTTGCTAGGATGAAATTTAGGCATCTTGTTACTGAGAAACTGATGTGACTCCATTTTTGAGAAACCAGCTTCTACCTCAAGGCCTGTCCAGAGGGAGGGGGCATGACCCTTTTTCTTGGAAAAAACCACAGAGCACTCCAAGGCACATACCCACCCTGCTGAGTTGTTTGTATGTAAATAATTGGMGAGCTCTGGGGTGCCAGGTGTCCCTGACTCAGTTAGGCTAGGTGAGGACCCATAGCAACCTCCTAGCAACCACCAATCAGCGTGAGACAGAGAAAATATCTGAAATTCCAGGTGTCTCTCCCACTAGTTTCGGTGATTGGTAACAGGATTAGGCAACCCTGCAAGTTTAGCATATACACTCTTGCAACCCCTTGAATCCTAAACCAATCAGTTCAAACTTATCCATCGCTTGAACTAACCAATCACCCTTACCTGACTTGTTCACGCCAATCAAATGTTAAGAGTTGTTGTTTGATTTTCCCGCGGTATAAARTGATTTGTGTGTGATGTTGTGACGCATAGTTTCCCCAAAAAAACTATAAATCCTCACTGAACGAAGGGTCAGGACTCACTCCTTGGGACCTCTGTGTTGTAAACSGTTGTGAGTCCATGAGTCCAGGCTTGAGCTTGCAATAGAGACATTTGTGTGATTGCAAGAATTCGGCTCTTGGAGGTTTATTGGGGTCCCTTGGATCTGGCATTACATTACCTGGGTAGGTGTTCTTACTCTGAAGAGGAAGCATTAATTGGTGGAAATGTAACAGTGAATCAATTTATGCTTTGACTATACCCCTTGCTGCTCTGCAACTGTTTTTTTAAATAGACATGTTTCTTTCTCTTCCTCTCTCCATACTCCTTAATCTCAGGAAAATAGGATTACCTTTCAAGGCAGATGTATCTGTCCTTGGACATACCCACCATAGGAATGAAGTAATCCAGACTTTGGGGATGGTACCAGAAGATCTCAGAAATGATCATCTCCCAAATTAACATGCAAATTGTAACTCCAACAGAGAACACGTGGAATGTAGCCTTTGAATCACTTCTTTAAAAACCCCCTGTTCCCATTGATGGGCAGAATCAGAGTCTCTGGGACAGGAGTCCCCTGTGTTTCTATCTTGCTAGCAAAACAATAAACTTTTTTCCTTTTTCTCAAAACTGTTTTCTCAGTATTGGATTGTTATTGGGGACAAGGACCGAGGTTTGGGTAACAGAAATGAAAAGTCCAGCGAAGGCGGGGGAAAGGC